TAAAGTGGACATATACTAGAAGAGGTAAACACCAACCCATACCTCTGACTTCAAATATCTGACGACCCAAAATGGAGAACAAGCAAACACCAGCAAAAAACGCGGCAAGTTCGATCCTTGGCTTCTGTAGGCGCAACCTACAGCATTGCCCAAAAGATTGTAATAAGAACGCATATATATATTTAATAAGGTCAATCATGGAATATGGAACTATAATATGGAACCCATTCACAAAAAAGGAGACAGACCACCTAGAAAGGATACAAAGAAGGCCTGTACGTTTCATCAACAGAGATTATAAATCAAGAGATGACGGATACATCACAAAAATAATGCAAGAACTAGAATTATCACCATTAGAGGACAGACGAAAACAACAAAGGCTTATATTTATCTACAGAGTGGTGGAGGGTCAGGTACCAGCAATGCCGCCTTCTGACCGCATTTTTTTCTTTATCAGAACTGCTGTTGACTGGAACAACCTACAAGACAACACAGTACGTGACAGCAAAGTCAACCGAATGCTTCAAAGCGGCACTATATAGCCCCAATCGGAACCAATTGCGTTCTCCGTCCCCGTGCTAATAAAGCCCATAGGCATTCTACAAAGTACCCATACAGATACAGAGAAATATCCAAAACCAAAAAAGGACAATAATAGCTGTTCATAATATATATTTAAAGGCAGTTTTCTGTGGTATATTTTTGTAGTATAATAAGAAAATAATAGATGATTTAAAGCAAATATATCACCAGGAAAGTAAAGGTATACGTATTATTAATATTTTCTATTAAATATAGTTTAGACGAATGGCCTGATTGAGTCTTTCCATAAAAAGGTATTCATAACAATACAGGAACAAGTCACATGCGCTTTGGAAATGGACCCTTCTTCTGTGGTTCACCTTAAGATAGAAAATCTGGCATAGACAGGAATGTTCTGGGTGTTGAGATCTACCTAGTACGGTATATTTACATCAAAACTGTCAGACGACTTCTGATAGGAGTTTTGTCGTAAAATAACCTATTTTACCATTTTTTTATCTTAAAAAAAAAAATTAATAGTTCATGAGAGGGAAACTTTTGTATAAAAAAAACGATCAGCAAGACAAATTCTAGAAATAAGTCAAATGACTGAAATCGCCAGTCAGCTCCTTATATGTGAGATATTGTCCATAAATGACGATTTCTTTTACCAATTAAATTTTTGTATGCATTTTCTTGCCTATTATCTTGAAAACTATAATAGATATATAGACACTTTAAAAGCTAAAATGATCAGCAGGAAAAGATCTACAAATATGTCAGCATGGCTGAAATTTTCAGTCAACTCCTTATTATAGCTACTGTCATTTAATGATGATTTTTGCCTCAGTATTCGAAGTTTTCATTTTTGGCGAAAACCTTTAAACAGCAAAAAATGATCAGCAAGACAATTTCTAGGCTACAAATAGGTCAATGTAGCTGGAATTGTCAAACGACTCCTTATAGGAGTTGTTGACCTTAAGGTTAAAGTTACAGTAAATGGGATATGTCACAGATTTTGCTAAAATTTTGTATACAACTTTGGCTCGTTGAACTATAACTGAAAATCGAAAAAAAAAATAATGCATTTATCTCTTTCATTATCTGAAACATTACTGATTGAAATGTTTCAAAATAGGTGAACATTTGTAAAGAAAGCACATAAAATAGAATAATAGTGCCAGTGGGTATTCAAGGTCGACATTAACACCTCCTAGTATTAGTATATTACTGAGTTAAACTGAGTAATCTCAGTTACATTACAAGAATAGATGGGCAGCACATATATTAATATATCAAAACTACGAATAATACTACAGATAAAAGCAGACACATTTATACCAGTAAGATCAGAATGGTTTTCATCAACATCAACGGTTTAAGAGGGAAAAAACTTGAACTGCTGGCATATTTACAAACTAAAAACCCAGACATAGTAGCGCTGCAAGAGAACACAATCGACAACAGCATTACAACTAATGAATTGATTCCAGACAAATTGGGCTATGATATATACCGCAACGACAGAACAGGCAATGGGGGAGGCACAATGTTACTCATCAAAACACACCGACTCAGCACCTGTGAAAATCCTCGAAAATGGATCAGAATCTATTTGGAGCAAAATCGTCTTGCAAGGAAAACATCATTATATAGGAAGCTGGTACAGACCACCTGATGCCCCTTTGGATCAAATACAACTAGTACTAAAGGACCAAATGGAAATCAGGGAAAGCAAACAAACAACCATGCATTCACGTCTTGGGCGATTTTAATTACCGTAAAATAAATTGGCAGACAAAGTTAAATAAAGATACCAACACAATCGTCATGTCTAAACGGAAGTGAGGACCAAGCGTTAATAGATATACTAAATGAGGCTGAACAACTCGTCCTGTTTCCAACCAGGGAAAGTAATACAATAGACCTTTTAATTACAACCTTACCAGGGCAGTTCACAGATATCCATTCACCTGATCGGTTTAGCGACCACGACATTGTCATGGGTACTCTGAGATGCACAATTCCAAGAAAAATATGACCAGAAAGGACCTTCTTCCAATACTCAAAGGGAAACTACAATCAGTTGAGAGAAGACTCAAGGGACTTCACCAGAGATAGATACTTCAATGGCCATCAAAACAACAGGAATGTAGAAGAAAACTTGAACATGATAAAAGAATTTATACTAGGAACCACCAAAATCAATGTACCAACTAAAACATCAAAAGAAAAACAGTCAATACCATGGATAAATAATAATAGCAAGGCCATGATAAAACGAAAGAACAGAACACACGCCAACTATAAAAAACCCAACAGCATGAAAATAAAACGAAAATGGCAAGAATTAAGACGCACAATTAACAAGGAAATTGAAACAGCCCACAACAACTTAATAGGCGATATAAAACAGGATTCTAAACCATTTTGGAAATATATTAACAACCAGAAGGCAGACAAACAGGGAATACCACCACTTAAGACTCAAGATAATAAGACCGCCGATACAGACCAACAGAAAGCGGAGGCATTGAATACGCAGTTTACAAGACAGAATATGAATCCATTCCATACCAAACTCCTCATGTAAACAAAATGAGAAACATCAGAGTAACAACCAAAGGAGTGGAGAAGATACTTAAAAACGTTAATGCGTCAAAAGCGATGGGCCCTGATGGTATACACCCCAGAGTACTGAAAGAATTGGCACCTAACATATCAGAGGTATTGGCTCACTTTTTCCAAAAATCCGTCAACAGAGGAACCATCCCAGATGAATGGAAAAGTGCTAATCTATGCCCGTTATTCAAGAAGAACGACAGAACCATCCCAAGTAATTACAGACCAGAATCTCTAACATGTATCACTTGCAAACTACTAAAACATGTCATTTGCTTGAACCTAATGCAGCACTTTGAAGATCACAACATCCTAAATAGCCGACAACATGCATTTAGAAGAAGACACAGCAGTGAAACCCAACTAATCAACGTTATACACGACTGCCATTGACAACAGGAAACAAACTGATATATTTATTTTTGATTTTGAAAAAGCATTTCACACCGTACCGCACGAGCTATTAAAAGGTAAACTTCACAAATATGGCGTGCCGAAAAAACATCCTGAATTGTATTAACGCCTTCCTATCTACAAGACCTCAGTGTGTGGTTACCGTAGTGAATGGGATTAAGTCCAAAACATCGACAGTCCTATCAGGAATACCTCAAGGAACGGTTCTCGGTCCCATCCTATTTCTAGTCCATATCAATGACATAGCAGAAAATGTAACATCAGAAATAAGGCTGTTCGCAAACGACTGTGTATATGCTACAGAGAAATAAAAAATGAAGATGACTGTGCAAAACTACAGAAAGATATAGATACTCTTGGTAACTGGGCGACTAATTGTGCTATATGATTCCAACCATTTAAATGCAACATGATGACATTGAGTCGCAAGAAGAAAATAACATCATTTAAATACACTCTGAAAAATACGAAACTCCAATTTTTAACATCTATATATATGTTAAATATCTATAGGAGTAAACATCACAAATGACCTACACTGGGGAAAGCACATAGAGGAGATATGCAACAAATCTTATAGGACATTAGGTATAGTAAAAAGAAACCTATCAGCATGTTCACTTGAAGTTAAACTCCAGGCATATAAAGGACTGATACGACCTGTCCTAGAATATGCAAGCACTGCCTGGGACCCACATCAACTATATCTTCAAGAACAACTAGAAAATGTACAGAAAAGAGCGGCTAGGTTCATAACATCAAACTACAACTACGAACAAGGAAGTATGACAGCAAGTTTAGACCAACTGCAATTACCATCACTAGACAGCGGCGTACACAAAACAGACTGATCCTGTTCTGCAAAAGTATACACGGTCAAGCAAACTTATCATCTGACCAACTTGAAAAACCATCAAGGACAACCAAGAACATGCATAGCCAACATTTTCTTCAGACTTCAAACAAAATCAGACACATTAAAATACAGTTTCATACCAAATACCATTAATGACTGGAACCAACTACCACCGGATATTTTCATCAAAATTCAGACAGCAGAAGAACCAGCTAACACCTTTAGTGAAATTGTAAGGGGCCCCCACTTAAGTAAATTACTTGACGCACGCGCGGTGTATTAATATCCTTGGATGTATCACCGTATTCCTATCAAGATCAAGATCAAGAACGAATAAATTCACAAGAAGAATATTTTGATTCTATTGTTTTCGACTTTCAGGTTATCCCTGGGACATAATATATTGTCCGTATACTATTCCCAGCCTGAGGTTATCCCGCTAACTCAAGTCCAGCTTTCCGGATGATAAAAAAACTCGTAAAAGAGAGGCGAAAGATACCAAAGGGATATTCAAACTCACAAGTCGAAAATAGTCGTAATTGATACAGGAGACGACCGGAATACATTTCGCGATTTACATAACTTCACGAAAACAACATGGCAGCCCTGTGTCGATGTGCACGTTTTTGCCTTTCAAAAGCAATTCAGTTGCCTCTAAGACCAGTATTTTCTTCGAATTCCAAGAATTTTATATGGGAAAACAAATGTCGACCTTCAATCTTTTCAATCGACATAAGGTAATAGACTAGAATGCTGATACATATATGACCTTCAACCTGAAGACCGGCTGCAGCACAGGGTGCTTACAGTCCAAAATCTAGTAAAATTGATTCACTTCTTGTATTAAACGTGAAACTATTTTACTCTTTTCGTACATACTGATTAAAATAAAAATTGCGCTGGCTTTAGATCCTGAAATTGAGGGTTTGAATCCCCTGGTACCATCCATGTATTTTCACAATACTCGATAGTGTGTTTCAGCCACACTCTCCTTGTAAAAAAGGACTTTTACAGCAACCTTTTAAGAGGTGCATATGTGACATTTTTGTAAGATAAATTGTATGTCTCCCCAATACTTTTTACTAATGGTTTTACAAATTTTCTGCAATATGATGTCAAAGATGACTGATGTAATCCAATAAGTTCAACTTTAAAATACACTACATACATGTACATGTTTGACAGAAAAAACAGTCATATTGAACAGAGTTTGGAAAAGTCTAGAGGCTTAAAATTATTTTATATGTGTTAATAATGATAAAATATTGTTTATAAAGTGTTATTTTATCAATATGAATCTTATTCTTAACAAGAAAAATATGAAACATAAAAATTGCAAACACTTCAAAAACATATATGTGAAATACTTATTTTAAGCATCAAATCTGTATCAGACAATATAATGTCGCCATTATCAGGAGTGAAGAACGCTGCCACTGGTGTTCAGAGGTTACATGTATCATAAATCCACTTTTACTGTTTTAACTTAATGAGTTATAAAGATTCATGTTAATAAAGTAACATATCATAAACAATATTTGACAAAAATAAACAATTTAAGGCCTCAAGACTATAAACAGACTTCTCTCAGACTCTGTACAGTAGTATATATAGTACTAGTGAAAACAGATATTTCAATAAACTGAAATCAGAGCACTGCATATTATTTTGAAATTGACGTATCCATACAATTGAAGTGCAGTTACAGTCTATATACTTTTAGGAGTAATCTGTTTGATATTGATTTCAAAATTTAGGCTTGTCCTCTTAATCTGTTTTATTTTTATGTTTTCCAGATTTAAGATGTAGTTTAAACCCAAATTTCAGTGGTAACTTTGGACAAATGAGTCCCTAATATTGCACTCTGTCCTTAAAAATTTTCTTCTATGGACATCTAAAATTGATAAATTGGTGTCAAAAATGAACAAAAATCAGTAATATAGTATTTCTTTTTACAGAAGACACTATGTGCAGCCTGCATCCACTGAGAATAATGAACAAGAAAGAACATTTAGTACAAGACAAACTGTGTCTGACCAACCAATGCAAGCACTTGGAGATTTTGTGCATCAATACAGACGAAGCAGACAGGATTATATTCAAAACTGTATAACTAGTTTTCAGGAAAAAGGTTTGTCTCCATGCATTTACATTTCATTTTATCTTTCAATCTTTCAGTTCATGCTGGCATGCTTTTATTGTATTAATTTTAAAATAACAGCATAATATGGAATGAGTAATTTGCAAGTTGTACACAATGGTTTTTGAAATATGATATCTACATTCATTTTATAGGCTTAGAAAATATTGAAGATGGTATGTTTGTACTTAGAAGTACAGGTGAACCTCTCTCTCAGCTACATCCAGATAACAGAATGAAATACACAGATATGATATGGGATTGCATACAGAAAAGTGGTAAGAGCCAGACCTACTTCATCTCTTGTAAAGACGATGTTACTCCAAGAAAATAATCAGGGGTTACGCTGCTCTTCGTAATTTACCTCTACATGTACATTGCCCTATAGGTTTTGTTGCTGCGTGTCATTCCTTATTGCTCTAATATTCTAAAAAGGCTACACATGATAACCAGGGGTCAAGCTGGTCTTTGTCAATTACCTCTTCAGTGCCCTATAAGTTTGTTTGCTGTGTGTCCTTCCGGATTGCTCTAATATTCTAAATTGTTAAATATCCCTAAATCTTTTTTAGAGTCCTTACCCTAAATCATATAGGTGTCAGACAACCAATTCACCCACTCCAATTTAGAACATATGTAAAAGTAGCCCTTTCCTGACAAAAAATAGTGCTTTTCAGGGGTTGAATTTAAGCTTTTTATACTCCTGTTTACGGGACGTATTATGGTATACCGTTGACCGTCTGTCCGTCCGTCGTCAACATGTCGGACATTAACTCAAAAATGCTTTATTCAATATGCATGAAACTTTGATGAATTGTTTATATCTATTGACGTGAGCTCCTTTTTGTTTTTTATAAATTTTTGATTTACCGTTTCCGAGTTTTGGGGTTTTATTCATTAAAAAAGGGGGGATTTTCCAGTTTTCGGACAATAACTCAAAAACAATTTCACCAATTTGCAAGAAACTTTGGTGAATTGTTTATTTATATCGACATGAGCTCCCTTTTGATTTTTATAAATTTTAGACTATACGTTTCCAATTTATGGGGTTTTATTCATTACAAAAAGGGGGATTTTCCAGTTTTTGGACAATAACTCAAAATATCCTTAAAGTGCTTAGAGTAGTTTTCATTAAACTTTGATGACTGATTTATATCTATTAAGAAAACCTCCCTTTAGTTTTTTTATAAATTTCTGATATAACATTGAGAAGTTATTGTTTGTTTATAGTCTGACAACAGATTTACTAAGTATTGCGCAACAGCACAGTGTATTGCACAACAGCAAGAAATCTTTAATTGAATATAAATTCAATTCATATAACCAATTTCAAGTTCTTTGACTACATTTATTCAGAAACCTATAATATGTCAAATATTTTTTGTGTATTGGCCAGCTGGACCAGCGGATTTAAAAATCTGCTGGGCCGGCTCCAAATCTACTGGTCCAGCAAAAATGACATTCATTTGACAAACACTAATATAAATGATAGATGTTTACTTTTATTTTCATGCTTTCTTTTACATATGTTAGACAAGAAAAAGAGAGTCTTGATCCTGATTTTGATAAAGGCTTTGATAATCTCAATGATTTTTTATCAAAATCAGGATCATAGACAGAAAAAATGTCAACATCGCCTTCCACATCATCACAATCCTCACGACGACCATAGGGTGCCTGGCTGGGTCGTCTAGATCCCGTTATGAAAATATATTTCTTATCTAGATCTGTCACTGCAAATTTTTCACATGTTATACAATTCATTACATTGCGATCGACTAAATAATTTAACCATTCGCGATCTTTTTCCCAGGATTTTTGATATTTACGTTTCCTTTTGTCAATTTCATGAACTTTATTCCGATCTTCCTTTTGAATGTCACTTATTTTAATTTTTTTGTCCGGCGGTTTAACTCTTTCCAAAAATTTCCACATTTTGTGTTGTTGTGAAACGCTCACCCGAGATATTAATTAACTTGATCAGTTGTAATTCTTAGTACCCTCCCAGTACCGTGTAATTGATTTCGCAGGTACATTTTTTTGTAAACAAACCGAGATTGTGATGCAATCAGTGATTTTTATCGACAAATTTCTACTGGTCCGCCGGACCACCAGATGACAAAATCCACTGGTCCGACGCAAATTCTACTGGTCTTGGACCACCGGACTAGTGCTAATTTCGACCCCTGCTTTTGATGTCATTGTTTACTTAAACTAACCAACAAATTTGCAGAAATGAAACTTTGTTGAAAGAGAAATATATGTAGACCATTTTGAGCCAAAATTTACTTGTCCATGAGTTTGCATTAAAAATTGAGGATTATTGCGCTCCATAGTATACATGTACTTATTTAAGATTTCCAGAAAACCAGGGGTTATTTTTAGCAGTACTTGTCTTCCGAACGTTAGTATTTTGGTACAAGACTTTAAACATAGGTTGAAAATTGGCATATAGAAAGGTGATACATGTACAATTCAGGATATACCTGGTTTTTATAATGAAGTTTAAACTTAAGGTAAAATATTTAGAAAGCTGTGAAAATTGCAAAATTTGGTTGAATAGATAGGGATTTTGAATTGGTGGTCTGACACCTATATATCTATGATATTTACATATTTTTCTGATTTCTTATTTTAAAGGGTTTCAGAATTTTTGGTAATCTAAGATGGCAGCAATTTTATGTGTTCTTCTCAGGATCAAATTTAGATAAAAGTGCCAGCCAAATTCATGCTCAATTTGCTTGTGTTGATTTAGTTTTTCAATTTTGCCCCACCATATTTTTGCACCTGTCCCAAGTTAGTCTTGTATTTTTTTATACGACCGCAAAAAATTTTGCAGTTGTATATTGGTATGACGTTGGCGTTGTTGTCGTCGTCGTCGTCCGAAGACACATTGGTTTTCGCACTCTAACTTTAGTTTAAGTGAATGGATCTCTATGAAATTTTACCATAAGGTTCAATACCACAAAAGGAAGGTTGGGATTGATTTTGGGGGTTATGGTACTAACAGTTAAGGAATTAGGGGCCAAAAAGGGGCCAAAAATAAGCATTTTTGTAACTTCCAGACATAACTTGTGTGTTAGTGTATGGATCTCTCTGACATTGTACCACAAGGTTCCATATCACAAAGGGAATGCTGGGATTGACTTTGAGGGTAATTGCCTCAAAATTTTAGGAATTAGGGGGCAAAACACAAACATTTTTCTAGTTTCATGATAATAACTTGGGGATTGATTTTGGGGGTAATTGCCTCAAAATTTTAGGAATAAGGGGCCAAAAAGGGGCAAAAAACAAGCATTTTTCTAGTTTCAGGACAATAACTTGTGTGTAAGTGTATGGATCTTTATATATGAAATTGTACTACAGGGTTCCATATCACAAAGGGAAAGCTGGAATTGAGTTTGGGGGTAATTGCCCAAAACGTTTAGGAATAAGGGGCCAAAAAGGGGCCAAAAATAAGCATTTTTCTAGTTTCCAGACAATAACTTGTGTTCAAGTGTATGGATCTCTCTGAAATTGTACTGCAAGGTACAATACCACAAAGGGAAGGCTGTGATTGATTTTGGGGTTAATTGCCTCAAATTTTAGGAAAAAGGGGCAAAAAACAAGTATTTTTCTAGTTTCAGGACAATAACTTGTGTGTAAGTGTATGGATCTTTATGAAATTGTACTACAAGGTTCCATATCACAAAGGAAAAGCTGGGTTTGAGTTTGGGGGTAATTGCCTTAAATGTTAAGGTATTTGGGGCCAAAAAGGGGCCTAAAAACAAGCATTTTTCTAGTTTCCAGACAATAGCTTGTGTTCAAGTTTATGGATCTCTCTGAAGTTGTACTGCAAGGTACATGTACCATACCACAAAGGGAAGGCTGGGATTGATTTTGGGGGTAATTGCCTCAAAATTTTAGGAATAAGGGGCCAAAAGGGGCAAAAAACAAGCATTTTTCTAGTTTCCAGACAATAGCTTGTGTTCAAGTGTATGGATCTCTCTGAAATTGTACTGCAAGGTACCATACCTCAAAGGGAAGGCTGGATTGAGTTTGGGGGTGATGAATCATAAGGGGTTCAAAAATTTGGGGGAGGGATTTTTTTTTTCTTTAAAATTTTCCATTTTAAATTAGTTATTTCTGATTTATATATAAAAGCAAATAATAATGATATGGTTTGAATAGGTAAATTAAAATTTTTTAAGTTCTTAAACCACATTCATTCAGTGTCAGAAACCTATGCTGTGTCAAATATTTAATCACAATCCAAATTAGGTGCTGTATCAAGCTTGAATGTTGTGTCCATACTTGCCCCAACTGTTCAGGTTTCGACCTCTGCGGTCGTATCAAGCTGCGCCCAACGGAGCATTTTATTTAATTATAGTTAATTTATATGTTTTGGAGTTTAATGTGACATCCATTCTCACTGAACTTGTACACATTTTTGTTTAGGGGCCAGCTGAAGCCCGCCTCCGGGTGTGGGGTTTTCACGCTGTGTTGAAGACCCATTGGTGGCCTTGGGCTGTTTTCTGCCCTTTGGTCGAGTTGTTGTCTCTTTGACACATTCCCCATTTCCATTCTCAATTTTGTATGGAGTTTCAACTGCATTATATGCATGTACTTGCATGTATACTATATATTGAACACCCATTGGTGGCCTTGGGCTGTTTTCTGCTATTTGGTCGGGTTGTTGTCTCTTTGACACATTCCCTGTTTCCATTCACTATTCTGTACTTGACTATTTTTTATGAACAAAAGCTCAATGGACAACCAGAAATTTTGATATAACAGCAAATTACTATTTTTCACTTGTTATTTAATAAACTTATCCCAAGTTTTTTCTGTTATTTCAGGATTGCCGTTACAGACATCATACTTTAATAATTTGCTGATGGTATACTTAGAAAATCAACACAAGTTTTCCCCACCAGACATTCTTACTGAAATGGATAAGGCAGGATTAAAACCAAACAGGGTATATCTATTACATATTTTATAATCTTATCCCTTACTATTAAAAGTTTCCATTTTTAGTGCAAAGTCTATTTCTTGTGGTCAAATTTAACAGAGGTTTATATAAGGGAAATTACAATTGAAGATAAATTGTTGACTGATATGTTGTATGGTATTAATTCATAATTGAAAATTTTTGTTGCATATTAATTTGTTAAAAGTTATTTGACTTCAAAGACTGCTACTTAACTTTATTCAATATTTTATTGCAGGCAATTTGTTTTAAAAGATAAAGATTAAGAATTAAAAGTGGTTGTTCTTTGTTTTTGAAATACTTATCTGTTTAAATTGTGCACTATAATTTATTCATTAATATAATTTCTAAATTTTCAGTATTCATATTAATGATGAAATCATGCAAAAAGTGCAAAATTCTTTCTCTTTAAGGTGACATTTCAACTAATACTTGCACATTATTGTGAAGAAGGAGATGTAGAAAAAGCAAGGTTTGTATTCACAATTTCATCAGATTAGCATTAAAATGAGGGAGAGGAGGGGTTAAGAATTTGTGATCTGCTCACAGTTCTTAAATCTGTCAACTGAGGGTATAAATGAACCACAGTTTCAATAGTTTCAAGTAAATATGGAGGTAAAGTTATAATTGAGTCAAATTATAATATGTAAATCATTTACAATTAAACAATGTACTCTATGAAGATTCTGTTTAACAGTTGCTTGTCTGTCTCATACTTTCAAATCATCAGCATATTTATAAAACTAGAAAATATAGAAATCCATATATAGTGCAAAAATATGATTTGATTTCACATAATAAATGATATTAAAACAGAAGGTTGAAGATGAACATCAAAAGTAGGAAATGTGCATGCTCATTCTGCAGCATTTCATATTTTAAAAGAATGCAATGTGTAAAAATAAAAAAAAGGCAGCTTATGATTAACTGCAAATGGTAATAAGATATTATATTGTAAATTGTTGTTATTACTGAAATAATGTTGTTAGATCTATTGTTATTTGAGAGTGATGGGTCCCATGTATGTTTTAATGGAACAGCCCTAAGTAAGGAATCAGATAAAAGTAGGAGTGTTATGCCTTTTAGTACTTATTCTCACAAGTTTTTATTTAAAGCTATTCAGTGAATAAGGAGGTGTTTCAAATACAAGATCCTTACCTCTTTGTACATTCTTCAAAGTACATCTTTTTTCTCCCCTCAAAATCACTGCAGAGACAAATAGTAACAACTTCTGTCTTCTTGTGTTGTCATCATTAGTCTCACCCTTTGTTAATCGGCAAGTTTTTGAAAACAGATTGATAAAATTCAACAAAGTTGCACAGATTCTTCTACAATGCATGCATTTTTGCACCTACTATTGTAAATTTTGATTGAAGTTATTTTGGGGTCTTCCATACTAAATAACCAAAGCATGGACTTTACCATTTCTGCTTATATTATATAGAGACAACAGGCACATCATTATTCATTTAGATAAGAGCTTGTACAAGGATCTCAATTATTCTCATCTTGCATCAATAGCACCCTTATATTTTGTTTGGTACATTTAAAACATACCTGCCAACCTCTGAAACCTTCAAAGAGGAAGATCTCCCCCTCAGCTATGACAGCTGAGGGGGAGATTTTGCGCGAACAACATTTTCAAGTTAAATATACGACCTGTTTACTTATTCATCTACAAAACAACAATAAGATTTAATGAATATACTTTATTTCTTCAATGCATGTTTATAATCTATACAAGGTGTTTCTTTTTTTGCCTTTTTCAATACCTCTGAGTCTCATAATTCGTCACGAACTTTCCATATTTTGATTTTGTTGTGAGTCTCACACTAAGCATGCTTTATAACGTCATACAGACCACCAGAAGAAACCGAAAAGTTGATTGAACATGATGATCAAAATGAAGATTAATTGCCAATTACAGCGTTTCTATAAAAGCATGCAAAGCAAACCTTTGATCAACTTGCTTGCTATGTTTGTTTGGATGTTTGTAAACAACAGGTAAGTAGTGTATTTCAGTCTGTTTACTATATACTGGAATTTGATTGGACAATAAACATTTATTCACATTGTATGTCAATTTTTATTGTCCAATCAAATACGAGTATATATTAAACAGACTGAAACTCTGCCTACCCTTTTGTTTACAAACATCCAAGCAAACATAGCAAGCAAGTCGATCAAAGGTTTGCTTTGCATGCTTTTACAGAAAAGCTGTAAGTGAATTTAGTCGTTCTTTCATTCAATCTGCTTGACATTTCGATTTGCAGTTATCTAGTTCTTCTTTTTTACACTGCCGCTTGATCCAGACAAAGACATATATCTTGTTAAAGTTGACATAACAGAAATGAATTTCGATTACTTATAAATCGAACATAAAAACTACGGACAGAAGTTTTCAAAAGATCGCCAATTGTGTATTTATTTCTATTGACATTAATGAAAAAGCCAGAGAATTACATTCCAGGTCATTCCAGGTAAAAATATCCAAAAGTGGGAGATTCTATACCCACGTGCGGGAGAGGACCGGTAAGCGAGAGATTTCCGGAATTTCGTTGTTTACGTGGGAGACTCCCGCTCACAACAGGAGGGTTAGCAGGTATAGTTTAAAAGGAGGGCTATTTCAAAATCTAGGAATACTTTGATGATTGGAAAAGCAGAAATGTTGAACCAACTGAGGGGTAGATGGACTTAGTTTTGCTATCAATGAGAGGGCATGGGTGTGTGAGCTTGCTTTCTGAGGTACTCTGATTTTAATGCAAGTATATTTATTAGTACATTTTTATTTTCAGTCAAATTTTGGAACATATGAAAGAAATGAAAGTTCCACTAACAGATACAGTTTTCAATAGCTTAATCATTGGACACTTCAGGGCAAAGTGAGTATCTACTCCATCATAATAATATGTTGTCAGGCTCTGGAATACTTTGATCAGCTTGGATTTCTATATTCTATTTCAATTGTACTCGTTATGAAGCTGGTTTTAAAGAAAAATGTTTGTTGTTGACAAAACCCATTCATATATGCTAAAATAAAAATTGTCAGTCTGAAAACCTTTCAAGAAGTCTATTCATGTATATTTTCTGATTTTACATTTATGTCTTTTAAACTAGTATATTCAACACTATCTTGCTAAAGTCAATATTCTATTTATTAGAAAAGGAATCTTCTTTTTTTTATTGTAAACTTGTGTTGTACGGTTGCATTTTCACTTTAGTCTACCCTAATATTTTAATTAATAATTATTTATTTTTTACAGTGATGTAGAGGGTGCTGTAAATATGTTAGAATTGATGAGGTAAGTCTGGTTGTAAAGATTAGATATATTTTATTTGTCTTCTAAAACTATACTGCTTTAAAAGCTAAGAAAGGATATATTATACGAGAACTCAAAACTATTCAGGATTATAATGATTGATTGTTTATTGTTTAACATTGCCTCTGCACAAAAAGGCTATATCTTACCCTTTAGGATTATATGATAAAAATAAACTCTTGTGTATCATTGAAAGCATATGATACAACAACTAGGACACATGCACCAGATGACTAACAAGTATATATAGTGACTGTTTTATGCTTATCTACATTGGATAAACTGCAAATGTTCTTTAAATTTTTACTGTTTGTATATATAAATTTCATTCTTTAACACCAGGCAATCTGGATTAGAGCCAACATTGGAAACATACAATTCATTATTACAAGGTTATATAGAAAAAGGAAATACAGAAGAAGTTATGAAAGTAAGTCCAATAGATAATAGTAGTATGGTCACCTTTTCAACTTATGCTCAACCATCCTGGAATGAGAAATTAGTCAACCTTTTTCAGAAAATAAAACCTTTATATTTACTTCTGAAGTCTGAATGTCAACTTTACAATCCATAAAAAGTCAGCAATTTCTTCTCGACTGAATTCTAAATTCCAGTAAGTATGGAACAGCTTTTTGTCTTTTATCTTCATTTCATGTAATATTTTTTTTCACAATTACAATTGCTTTGACTATTTCAGATTGTTTACCACTTAGTCATTCTTAAATTGGCTTAGTCATACAAAATTAAGTCATCTTACTTTAGTTTGATGATTTCTCTTTTTTTTTAGCTCACCTGGCCCAAAGGGCCTATTGAGCTTTTCTCAACACTTGGCGTCCGTCGTCGACGTCATTAGCTTTTTATACGACCGCAAAAATTAAAAATTTTTTGGTCGTATATTGGTATGACGTTGGCGTCGTCGTCGTCGTCATCGTCGTCTGGCGTCGTCCGGCGTCGTCCGAAGACACATTGGTTTTCGCACTCTAACTTTAGTTTAAGTGAATGGATCTCCATGAAATTTTACCATAAGGTTCAATACCACGAAAGGAAGGTTGGGATTGATTTTGGGGGTTATGGTACCAACAGTTAAGGAATTAGGGGCCAAAAAGGGGCCAAAAATAAGCATTTTTGTAACTTCCAGACAATAACTTGTGTGTAAGTGTATGGATCTCTCTGACATTGTAGCACAAGATTCCTTATCACAAAGGGAAGGCTGTAATTGATTTTGGGGGGAATTGCCTCAAAAGTTTAGGAATTAGGGGCCAAAAAAGGGGCAAAAAACAAGCATTTTTCTAGTTTCATGACAATAACTTGTGTGTAAGTGTCTGGATATTTCTGAAATTGTACTACAAGGTTCCATATCACAAAGGGAAAGCTGGAATTGAGTTTGGGGGTAATTGCCCGAAACGTTTAGGAATTGGGGGCCAAAAAGGGGCCAAAAATAAGCATTTTTCTAGTTTCCAGACAATAACTTGTGTTCAAGTGTATGGATCTCTCTGAAATTGTACTGCAAGGTACCATACCACAAAGGGAAGGCTGGGATTGAGTTTGGGGGTGATGAATCATAAGGGGGTTCAAAAAATTTGAGGGGGGGATTTTTTTTTTTCCTTTTTTTTTTCTTTTAAAATTTTCCATTTTAAGTTGGTTATTTCTGATTAATATTTAAAAGCAAATAATAATGATATGGTAAGAGATACACACCAAACAGGATGTGTAAATTATTATATAATAAGTATTGTGCAATAGCAAGAAATTTTCAATTTAACTTTGTTTGATTTCATCAAAAATTTAATTATTGGGGTTCTTTGATATGCCGAATCTAACCGTGTATTTAGATTCTTAATTTTTGGTTCCGTTTTCAAATTGGTCTACATTAAGGTCCAAAGGGTCCAAAATTAAACTTAGTTTGATTTTAACAAAAATTTAATTTTTAGGGTTCTTTGATATGCTGAATCTAAACATGTATTTAGATTTTTGATTATGGGCCCAGTTTTCAAGTTGGTCCAAATCGGGGTCCAAAATTAAACTTTGTTTGATTTCAACAAAAATTGAATATATGGGGTTCTTTGATATGCTGAATCTAAACATGTATTTAGATTTTTGATTATGGGCCCAGTTTTCAAGTTGGTCCAAATCGGGGTCCAAAATTAAACTTTGTTTGATTTCAACAAAAATTGAATATATGGGGTTCTTTGATATGCTGAATCTAACCATGTATTTAGATTTTGGATATTGGACCATAATAGGTGAATGTCCAATTTAAAATTTTTAAGTTCTTAGACCACATTCATTCTGTGTCAGAAACCTATGCTGTGTCAAATATTAAATCACAATCCAAATTCAGAGCTGTATCAAGCTTGAATATTGTGTCCATACTTGCCCCAACTGTTCAGGGTTCGACCTCTGCGGTCGTATCAAGCTGCGCCCTGCGGAGCATTTTATTACATTTTGAACTTCTTCTAGAGAACCACTGAATGTAATGAAACCAAACATGGCATGAATGTTCCTTATGAAGTAATGACCAAGTGTTGTTACTTTGAAGCCGATCCATAATCCAAGATGGCAGCCAGCGGAGGACTTAGTTTAACATAGGACCCTATGGGAAATACATTCAAATGTCTTCTTTTAGAGAACCACTGAATGAAATGAAACCAAACATGGCATGCATGTTCCTTATGAGGTGCTGACCAAGTGTTGGTTGTTATTTTGAAGCTGATCCATAATCCAAGATGGCCGCCACCGAGGGACTTAGTTTAACATAGGACCCTATGGGAAATATTTACAAATGTCTTCTTTTAGAGAACCACTGAATGGAATGAAACCAAACATGGCATGAATGTTCCTTATGAGGTGCTGACCAAGTGTTGTTACTTTGAAGCCAATCCATAATCCAAGATGGCCGCCAGCTGAGGACTTAGTTTAACATAGGACCCTACGGGAAATATTTACAAATGTCTTCTTTTTGAGAACCACTGAATGGAATGAAACCAAACATGGCATGAATGTTCCTTATGAGGTGCTGACCAAGTGTTGTTACTTTGAAGCCGATCCATAATCCAAGATGGCAGCCAGCGGAGGACTTAGTTTAACATAGGACCCTATGGTAAATACATTCAAATGTCTTCTTTTAGAGAACCACTGAATGAAATGAAACCAAACATGGCATGCATGTTCCTTTTGAGGTGCTGACCAAGTGTTGTTACTTTGAAGCCAATCCATAATCCAAGATGGCCGCCATCGGGGGACTTAGTTTAACAATAGGACCCTAAGGGAAATACATACAAATGTCATCTTTTAGAGAACCACTGAATGGAATGAAACCAAACATGGCATGAATGTTTCTTATGAAGTGATGACCAAGTGTTGTTACTTTGAAGCCGATCCATCATCCAAGATGGCCGCCAGCTGGGGACAATGTTTAACAAAGGACCCTATGGACAATACATACACATGTCTTCTTTTAGAGAACCACATACTGAATGGATTGAAAGCAAACATGGCAGGAATGTTCCTTATGAGGTGCTGACTAAGTGTTGTTACTTTGAAGCTGATCCTTTATCCACGATGGCCGCCAGTGGGGGGACTTCCTTTAACATTAGACCCTATGGGAAATACATACAAATGCTTCTTCTAGATGTGCACTGAATGGAATGAAACTAAACATGGCATAAATGTTTCTTATGAGGTGCTGATGAAGTGTTGCTACTTTGTTGCCGATTTACTGTTCAAGATGGCCACCAGGATTTTTTATTGAATTACAGGACCAATATTAAACTAAATTTGGCCTCACTCATTATTAGGGTATCTGTTATGATTTTAATCTATTTTTACATGATTTCCAAAACCAAAGTAGAATCAGGTGAGCGACACAGGCTCTTGAGAGCCTCTAGTTTAAATTCTAAAGTAGTTTTTTTCAAAGGCATTTTCTGCAAAAGGGAAATAACTCTCTTGGTCAGGTTAACATAAATTAGGTACAACACCTTGGTATTTCAACAACCATGCAAAAACTTGTGGTTAAATCTTTCAGTTGTTTTCAAATTGGTGAAAACTTGTTATTTTATTTTAGAAATTTTATTTTTTTTAGATTTTCCATTTTACTTTTGGAAAATGTCCTTTCAAAGTCTTCAAAGAAAACAAACAAATTTTATGTTTAATTAGAAAATTTGAGCGAAGTAGACATTTGTTAAAAAATACTTTCAACATTCAAACTTGAAAAATGTCAGAATAGCATATATCCATCACACAAGTTTAAAAATCCTTGATTAGGGGATAATATCCAGGAAATCTTGTAAATATTTGATGAATTTAAAGGGATTTTATTCTATATTGAGGCATTGACAATTCATGAATTGCCTTTGGAAGAAACTGGTAGTACAAATAACATCTAATTATATCATTTATACATAAATTTTATTTATTTTACTTAGATGATTTCACAACCACAAGGACAAAAAATATCATTTCTAAGTAGTCAGTTACTTGATGCCATTGTAACAGCACTGAATCATGGCCATGAAGAACTTGCCTTTCAAGTAAGAATTACAAAAATAGGTTGGAAATCCTTTATATCAATTGGCATATCATGTATTGCATGTTTTGTTAGCACTAATCTGTTTTCATTTCAGTTTCAGTGAAGCAACAATCATATGATTATATCTATGTTTGGATATTTCTGTGTTTACAATTTTTATACGACCGCAAAAAAATTTTGTGGTCGTATATTGGTATGACGTTGGCGTCGTCGTCGTCGTCGTCGTCGTCGTCGTCGTCCGGCGTCGTCGTCCGAATACATATTGGTTTTCGCACTCTAACTTTAGTTTAAGTGAATGGATCTTTTTGAAATTTGACCATAAGGTTAAATACCACAAAAGGAAGGTTGGGATTGATTTTGGGGGTTATGGTACCAACAGTTAAGGAATTAGGGGCCAAAAAGGGGCCAAAAATGAGCATTTTCTAGTTTCCAGACAATAACTGTGGAACGGTGTATGGATCTCTCTGAAATTATACTACAAGTTTCCATACCACAAAGGGATGGTTAGGATTTGCTTTGGGGGGGTTATGGCTCAAACCGTTTAGGAATTAGGGGTAAAAAAGGGGGAAAAACAAGGTTGTCCTGGTTAATGGACAAATACTTTAGTACAAAACATAATTTAAAGCAGTGTAAGGGAGATAAATCAAATACATCATTGAAATTATCTCCCTTACACTGCTTTTAAATTATGTATAAAGTAATGGTTAATGAACAATAAAGATAATCTAAAACAGTGTAAGGGAGGTAATCCAAATACAACGTTTTGGTTACTTCCCTTACACTGCTTTTAAATTATGTTTAAAGAAATGCATATTTATAAAGGAAGACCAGTAAAAATATCTGCAAATGTTTTCATCTTTTTTTTTTACAAAAAAATCCATATGAAAGATTTGACACTATATTTTTATTAATTCTATTATAAAATAGATTAAGTTAGCACTATGGTAAATTTAAATGGGTAATTATGGTTGCCAACTCCATTGGAAATTTGAATTGAGATTATGACCATATCTTGAGGGAAAGAATTTTTTTGGGGGAAAAAGGGGGGGGGATAAAAAGAAATTGTGGGGGGCCAATTTTTTCTCATTTCAGATTTCAGAAATTAAAAAGAATTATTCTTCAAATATTATTTTTTTTTCAAATTTCAAATATTGAAAAATTTCAAGAAGTAATCTTTAATTGCACAGTATGGCGCATTAGATTTGTAAAATCTTTGATCACATTTATTTATTTGTTATGCCGAATCTAACAGTGTATTTAGATTTTTAATTTTGGGTCCAGTTTTCAAATTGGTCTACATTAATGTCCAAAGGGTCCAAAATTAAACTTTGTTTGATTTTAGCAAAAATTGAATATATGAGGTTCTTTGATATGCTGAATCTAAACATGTATTTAGATTTTTGATTTTTGGCCCAGTTTTCAAGTTGGTCCAAATTGGGGTCCAAAATTAAACTTTGTTTGATTTCAACAAAAATTGAATATATGGGGTTCTTTGATATGCTGAATCTTACCATGTATTTAGATTTTTTATTTGTGGACCTCCTTATCTAATTGGTTCATATTGAGGTCAAAAGGGTCCAAAATTAAACTTTGTTTGATTTCATCTAAAATTGAATTATTGGGGTTCTTTGATATTCCAAATCTAACCGTGTATTTAGGTTTTTAATTTTGGGTCCTGTTTTTTAAATTGGTCTACATTGAGGTCCAAGATAGGGTCCAGTATTTAAACTTTGTTTGATTTTAACAAAAATTGAATATATGGGGTTCTTTGATATGCTGAATCTAAACATGTATTTAGATTTTTGATTATGGGCCCAGTTTTCAAGTTGGTCCAAATTGGGGTCCAAAATTAAACTTTGTTTGATTTCAACAAAAATTGAATTCTTTGGATTATTTGATATGCTGAATCTAACCATGTATTTAGATTTTTTATTTGTAGGCCCCGCTATCAAATTGGTTCATATTGAGGTCAAAAGGGTCCAAAATTAAACTTTGTTTGATTTCATCTAAAATTGAATTATTGGGGTTCTTTGATATTCCAAATCTAACCGTGTATTTAGGTTTTTAATTTTGGGTCCTGTTTTTTAAATTGGTCTACATTGAGGTCCAAGATAGGGTCCAGTATTTAAACTTTGTTTGATTTTAACAAAAATTGAATATATGGGGTTCTTTGATATGCTGAATCTAAACATGTATTTAGATTTTTGATTATGGGCCCAGTTTTCAAGTTGGTCCAAATTGGGGTCCAAAATTAAACTTTGTTTGATTTCAACAAAAATTGAATTCTTTGGATTATTTGATATGCTGAATCTAACCATGTATTTAGATTTTTTATTTGTAGGCCCCGCTATCAAATTGGTTCATATTGAGGTCAAAAGGGTCCAAAATTAAACTTTGTTTGATTTCATCGAAAATTGAATTATTGGGGTTCTTTGATATGCCAAATCTAACCGTGTTTTTAGATTTTTAATTTGGGTCCCGTTTTTTAAATTGGTCTTCATTGAGGTCCAAAGGGTCCAAAATTAAACTTAGTTTGATTTTAAAAAAATTGAATTCTTGGGGTTCTTTGATATGCTGAATCTAAACATGTGTTTAGATTTTTGATTATGGGCCCAGTTTTCAAGTTGGTCCAAGTTGGGGTCCAAAATTATACTTTTTTTGATTTCAACAAAAATTGAATATATGGGGTTCTTTGATATGCTGAATCTAACCATGAATTTAGATTTTTTATTTGTGGGCCCCGCTATCAAATTGGTTCATATTGAGGTCAAAAGGGTCCAAAATTAAACTTTGTTTGATTTCATCAAAAATTGAATTATTGGGGTTCTTTGATATTCCAAATCTAACCGTGTATTTAGATTTTTAATTTTAAGTCCTGTTTTTTAAATTAGTCTACATTAAGGTCCAAAGGGTCCAAAATTAAACTTAGTTTGATTTTAGCAAAAATTGAATTCTTGGGGTTCTTTGATATGCTGAATCTAAACATGTATTTAGATTTTTGATTATGGGCCCAGTTTTCAAGTTTGTCCAAGTTGGGGTCCAAAATTAAACTTTGTTTGATTTTAACAAAAATTGAATATATGGGGTTCTTTGATATGCTGAATCTAACCATGTATTTTGATTTTGGACATTGGACCATAATAGGTAAATTAAAAAAATTCAAGTTCTTAGACCACATTCTTTCTGTGTCAGAAACCTATGCTGTGTCAAATATTTAATAACAATCCAAATTCAGAGCTGTATCAAGCTTGAATGTTGTGTCCATACTTGCCCCAACTGTTCAGGGTTCGACCTCTGCGGTCGTATCAAGCTGCGCCCCAGCGAAGCATTTTTTTGAATTTATAAAGTTGAAATGTAAAAAAATAGTAGAAGGGTTGTGTGTCCTTCCATTATTCCTTCGGATCATACATCCTTCCAGTATCAGATTAAATTTTTTAGTCAGGGTAGTTTAACTTCAAGTTATTGTCACATCAACTTCATGGACTGTTATGAAACTTGCATAGAAGCTTTCTTATGATCAAGAAATAGCATCTGAAAAAAATATAAATTTTAAATTTAATTGATAAATGGACTTCGTTTTTGGAAGTCAACATTGCAATTTTACACTGACGGAAGCAATCACAGGCAAGACATCTTTAAGACTTTTTACAGGTAAACATTTGCCATTTAAAAAAAAAACAATGCTCTACATCCTGGAAATTGATAATTACTTAAATCAAAATGGTACAATAAAAGAAATAATGCCTTCCAATTTCAAAATGATGTGGAAAAAAAGGATTTATTTATTAATAGCTTTTAGACAAGGACAATTATCATTTCAGATCTTTGATTCAATGAAAGACTCAACCATGCTTAGAGGAAGGGGAACAAATTTATTAAGAAGCTGTATACAGAGAATGGCATATCATGGGCATATTGATGCTACTTTGAAGATGTGGCAGGATGTTGTTCCAGTGGAAATTATAAATAGGGAAATGACAAAGTCAATTATTTTAAATCTGGTAAGTTTGAATATTTCTTTGATATCAACAGGTGAGGTCATAGTTATTTTACTTTGTATTTGTATTTGTTTATTGTATTTTTGGTATTCACAACTATAAAAGAGATTATTCTCTGTGGTATTGTGGGATAGATTTTTTAATATTAAAGAGGAAAGTTAAGCTATATTTTTTTTTGGTCTTATATGTACTTGAATAGAAATTTTCAAAGGTTAATATTGTTTCAGATTTTTACAGCTCTGTTGTATTTGCTGATACATGCAAGTCTTGTATATTTCTAATTCTCATATAACTGATATCTTTTGTATTAATTTGAAATTAAGTTTTTCAACAGTTTAAGAGATAAGCAAATGAATTTTCTACCTGATAGGTTTGTTGAAGGGAACAAGCTAGAAAAATGGATTAAATTATAAATTAATTCACACAAATAGGACAGAAGAATAGAAATATGGAACAGAGATTTTCCATATATATAATGTGTATATACATGTATAATAATCTGATTCTGTCTTCTGTGTTTGTATTTTAGAAATGATGTAAAATAATTGTTCTGAAATCTCCTTTGTGCATACTTCATGTGTTAGCAGAAAAACTTTTTAAATATCCTTTAATGGATTGTCAAGGTGTACAACTAATATGTTACCAAATAGCCAGTATATGTTTTGTTAACAGAATCTTTGTTCCTGTAAAGCAAACACCAATCAATCAATCAATCAATCCTGTAAACTTTGGAATCTATTGACCATCTTTGTCTGTGCTTTAAAAAAATTAAGTCTGAAAAATGCAAGTGATAACTCCTCCATATCAACTATAGTATCCTATTTCTATTTTAATGAATCGTTTTTAAATCATAGTGCATTGAATCCACATGGCCTCCATTAAATGCTTAGCTGTAAGATAAGTTTTTCATTGAAGACCAAGTTGTAGATTTTATTTCTTATAGTTCTGTTAGGCAGGACATCTTGTTAAATATTTATGTCTGAGTAATGATTTTATGATGTATTAAGCAACAGTCATTTAATATTTATGAAATAGTGGCAAATATTCCATGTATTGTTTGGACAATTATTGAACTGGGTAATAAGTTTTTGGAGTTACATAGCCCGTTGTGTTTATAAATTTCATTTCTATAATTTTTTTCCAGGATCCTGAAAAACATATTTCAGCTTTATTAAACATACTAAAAGACCAAGATTCGATGGATATGGATTACTGCATCAAATTGTGCTGTCGAGAACAAAAATTTGGTAAGATTATTCACCTAAAAATATCATGGTAACTTTGTTTGCTTGAGTGTTGGAGGTCATAAGTTCTATCCTTAGTCGGGTCAAACCAAAGTCTTTTAAAAAATGATTGCTCATCACCTTTGGAATGACTCTTTACTATAACAATGATATGTATAGAAATTTTTTATGCCCCCGCCGCTAGGCGAAGTGGGCATTAAGTGTTACCCTTGTCTGTCCTGTTCGTCTGTCGTGTATGTCCCCAAAATTGGTTTCCGTTCTCTAACTTTAGTTTGCCTCAACCAAATATTATAAAACTTATACACAATGCTTATCACCACAAAACACAGATCAAATTGGTTGGCGTCACTTTTACCGTTCATGAGTTATGCCCTTTATAAACTTAAAAATTGCTGAATTTTCGTTTCTGTTTTCTAACATTAGTATTGTGAAGGTTGTGGCTAGTACTTCGCTTTGAATTAATAAGGCTTGTGTTCATACAAATTGTATTCATGTAATGAGTAGTTGCGCACAAGGCAACGTTACGTACAAAGGCATTACCTAAATAGTAGGTTACGTTAGTGATGTTAGTTACATAGTAAATGAATAGCGGCAAATCCTTGACAATTAGTTTGCCTCAACCAAATGTTATGAATCATACACAATGCTTATTACCACAAAACACAGATAGAAATTGAATTTGGGTGTTGTCACTTTTATCTTTCTAGAGTTATATAAAAAAAAGATGTGGTATGAATGCCAATGAGACAACTCTCCACAAGAGACCAAATGACACAGAAATTAACAACTATAGGTCACCGTAATATGCCCCTTTACAAACAGAAAAATTGCTGAATTTTTCGATTCAGTTCTCTATTAAACTTAAGTTTGCCTCAACCAAATGTTATGAATCTTATACACAATGCTTATTACCAGATTAACACAGATCATGTTTCAATTTTGGTGGCGTCACTTTTACCTTTCTAGAGTTATGCCCCTTTACAAATGGAAAAATTGCTGAATTTTCTGTTTTAGTTCTCTAACTTAAGTTTGCCTCAACCGAATGTTAAAACTTATACACAATGCTTATTACCACAAAACTCAGATCAAGTAAGAATTTTGGTAGCGTCACTTTTACCAATATTGAGTTATGTCCCTTTATACCGTTATATGCAAGCGGGGGCATCATCTGTATCCCAGAAACACATTCCCCATTTTTTTTTTAACAATATTTTCATAATACATGTAGCAATTAAGTGTAATTAAAGTCTTGTAAGTATGCTTTATTTTATCAGTGCACTTTGATGACTTGAATGTGGTTTTCTACAGCAGTTGGTTAAAATTTCTCACCAGTTGAATAGTTAGAGTTGATAGAACAAATTGCAATTTGGTCAGAATTTTGAATGAACTGCAGTAAGTGGAAAGCATCACTTACAGTCAGGTCACAGTAATAACCCTATACAACTTGAAACTTACTGGAGTTTCACCAAGTGGCAAAAAAAATATTAATGGCAAAACAGGTGTGTGTATTACACATTAATACAAATAATTACATGACAGTAATAAAATTCCCTCTGTACATTTGCCTGAACAATTAAACATAAGGTGTTCTTTTGGCTTGACAACATATTTTTTTTTATTTTTCAGATTGGGTATTAAAATTTTTAGAAAGAGCTAATACTGTAAGTGATTTAGATTTAAGTTTATTTCTTATGCTATTAAAATGAACAATTTCATATGACATATGATAAGGCCATGTGGGTCACAAAGAAATATTTTTTACAGACATCACACTATGATTTTAGATGAACTCTTTGCTATATTTGCCTTTAACTTAATGATTAACAAACAATGGCTGATTTCTGGTTATTACTTATATCAGTGGTCAAGCCACCAAGAATTATTCTATTTTGATAGCCTGTGTCTTCTATTTTCTCAAACAGATAAACAAATTCTGTCCTCCTTCTACCACGCTAAGAAAATTTCAAAGTCCGATGCGGCTCTCTGAAGCAGGGGCAAAATTTGTTGTCCGCAATAGCACAGAAGTTTGATAAAATTTAAGACTTTTTAAAAGAAATGTGTTTTAGAATTGAGAATTATTGTCACAATGAATATTTCTCTTTTCAGGTTAAATGTTTTGAAGAAGGCCATATAAGATTTATTTTTAAATTGTTTCAAGATGACAAAGAAGGTGAGTGAAATATTGGATAGCCACAAGGTTACATATAACATTTGAAAAGTTGGTTATCTAAGAAATTTTAAATAGCAATAGTAGAGTCACTATCATGTTCAAAATTATTTCAGACAAAACCAAAAAAAGGCTTGTTATAGAATAAATGATTATTTATTTTTGATCTGTACTGTTTAGCAATGTTTTTGTCATGCATATTAAAGCAAGCAGATAAGAAAATGGTATATAAATCAATATTTTATGTTAGGAAGTAAAAAAAGTATAGGCAGTGGAATAAAACATTCATTTTCCATGGCTTAGGGAATTATGAAGATTTGTTCACCCTCAAAAAGTCGTATTCTCTTGTATGAACAAATCTTCATATCTCCCTCAGGCAAGGAAAATACATGTATAATATTCTTCATATACAATTATATCAGTCTATATGCTTTTGAATTTTTACAAATTTTACAAATGAATTTTTATTAAAAAAAAACATTTGCACCATACAAAGATTGTCATGTTTATAGATGATACTGCAGTTATTGTTATCATTTTCCATGTCAAAAAAGTCTTTAATGTTGTTACATTTGATATCATTAACCCACTTACATATTACAAAAAAATAGTATGATAAAGGTGCATATTTAGATGGCATGCAACCAATAAAATTGGCTCAAACAATTTGAACAAAACAATATGTTTTCATAACATCATCAAATACTAGTGAGCTAAAATTTTCTTTTGTCTTGCCTGTATCGAAGGTCACAGAATGTGAGACATAGAGATGCTAATCTGGTGGTGGTGACAACATACTAATTTCAGTGTGTATTAACTCTGCTTCCTGTCTTATTATCAAAAGAAATTATTGGTCATTACTAAACTTTGACTAATGAAAAAAGAACAAATGAGAATAAATTTAGCATGATTTGAAGTAAAACTTCCTGTTTAAATTCTTATTGTACAAGCTTTTATTTTGAAACTTTATACTTTTATAGCTTTACTTCAAGTCACAGATGTATTGGCAAAGACTAAAAATTTGAAAACAAGAGGAAATATTGGTCAGTGTTTATCTAAATACATTATACCGACTATTGTAAAAAATGATGAATCAGTGGAAGACTTTTTGGATGAGATGAAGGTTAGTGCTAACATTTTATTTTTAAAAAAACAAACAAACTTACATCCTGTTATGCAGTATATTTTTGCACAGTGATTCTCATGATTCACAAGATTTCAAGAAAACTAAAAAAGCATAGGAATTTTCGCAATTTTCTCTCAAGACCTAGAAAAAAGATGATATTGTCCATAAATCCTTATAGATTTAAACTTGGAATATCTTGTTTTATTTGGAAATCATCCGTTATATAATTACTTCTATGGGTGGTTTCTTTATTTTTAAAGTTTCTGTCTCATTTAAAATGTATGTTTTACTGAAACATCATAAAGTGATTCCTCAAAACAAATTATTTTATATTTATATCTTATATAAAAGTACTGCATTTTTTATGAAGACAAATCTTCTAAAATTTAACTTGCAGCTATTTTTTTCTCTAGAAATATAAACAGCTGAAAGAATGCAGTAGACACATACAATATCATTAAAGTAACACCAAATATTGAATACTTAAGTTTTTTTGTCAAACATAGTTTCCTTTTTGTTAAACAGGCAAAAGGTTATCCAGAGGAAGACATTGATTCTTGTACTTTTGGTCATTTATTGAACAGTGATGTAGATAAGGCTTTTGAGTTTGGTAAGTCAAAAAAATAGAATTGTTGATCCAAACAAGTTTTTAAGGGCTGACGGTTGTGTGCACACAACACCTTAAATCAAGATCAGATATGTGTAGTATAAATTACAAATGGTAGCAAACAAAATCTTAACAGAGTTAATAGTCCTTGACCCGCTATTTTAAAAAGAAAAAAAAATATGATGTTTCTACTGCAATAGATGTATCAATTTTAATCACAGCTAAATGAAGTTACAAATTTACTATGTGGAAAATATGAAATCGTCTACTGAAAGCTCATGTAATAATGACCAGAAGCGAAAGCAAACAACATTGTGTGCATGAAAATAAAGAATATACATCAGTCTACAGCTTATATGCTCTTACATAGTTTATCGAGAAATAAATTGTCTGTGTCATTTAATTCCTTTACTTATGATGGAAAAACTGTTATTAAGTCTGAAATGAAAATAGAATATGATGGAAACAACTGTTGCAACACCAAATCAGCATGATATAGTCTTATTATCGGCTGGTATAAGTACAGTGACTAGAGGAGAAAGCGTTTTCTTTGCCCTTGTCACCCTGTAGCCTTTTAAATCCCAAATGCTCCTATACTGGTGGAAAATTATGAGATTTTATTTCCTTTTTTATACGACCGCAAAAAATTGCTGTCGTATATTGGTATCATGTTGTCGTCATCGTCCGAAGACACTTGGTTTCCAGACAATAACTTTAGTATTAGTTAATAGAAATCTATGAAATTTAAACACAAGGTTTATAACCACAAAAGGAAGGTTGGGATTGATTTTGGGGGTTATGGTCCTAACAGTTTGGGAATTAGGGGCCAAAAAAAGGGGCCCAAATAAGCATTTTTCTAGTTTTCAGACAATAACTTGTGGAACGGTGTATGGATCTCTCTGAAATTGTACAAGAAGTTTCCATACCACAAAGGGATGGTTAGAATTAGCTTTGGTGTGTAATGACTCAAAATGTATAGGAATTAGGGGCAAACAAGGGGGAAAAAACAAGGGTTTCCTTGTTAATGGACAATCACTTTTAAGTACAATGTTAAATTTGGATTTCCTCCTTTACACTGCTTTAAAATTATGTATAAAGAAATTTTGTATTGTCTTGAGGTGATTAGCTGTCAATTTATTTTTAGAAGTTACTAATAAAAATGCTGATTAAAGATATATTATTTTTAGACATGATTATGTATGTCATTTTCTATTTTAAGACTTTTATGATGTATTTAAATGGGTAATTATGGTTGCAAACTCCATTGGAAATTCGCAACAGCAAAAACAAAAAATTGAATATAAATTCAAATCATATAACCAATTCTAAGTTCTTTGACTACAGTTATTCTGTGTCAGAAACCTATTATGTGTCAAACATTTGATTCCAATCCAAATTCAGACCTGTATCAAGCACGAATATTGTGTCCATTTTTGCCCCAACTGTTCAGGGTTAGACCTCTGCGGTCGTATCCAGCTGCTCTCTGCGAACCAATTTATTGGTAATTATTTTAAGCTTTAAGGAAATGATGTATTAATGGTTCTTGTGTTTTCACAATGTGATTTTTTTGAGATTTGAGATTTTATATTTAAATTAGTATGTATCAGTGTACCTGTTGTAAGAGTAGCCTTAACATAACTGTAAATCTGTTGTCTCAAATTCCTTATGAGACATCGACCATTCTTTTGTCACATGTTAAACTTTTAAAGGTTAAATTGTACAAAGTATGTATTATAGATACAAAGAATAAGCGTTGATTCTTGAAAAAGAAACCATGAACCCGGAGGAGAAATGGTTTGTTTTTCACGAATCAACGCTTATCATTGTATCTCTAGCATAAACCATTGTGTTGATGTCTTTTCAAAATTAAAGCCTTTTCTTAATTAGAAGGTACTGTAGGTGAGTTTAAATAACAATGTTATCATGTTCAATGATGCATTAATAAATATAAGTTCACAATTAATTGGTTAGAGAAATACAAATATATAATAACACGTCTGTCTTTAAATTATCAGGCATCTAAATAATATCCGTAATTTTTAACAAGAAGCCATATACTAGGCACATCACGATTTACTCTCATAGGGATTTGCGAATAAACATTTTTAAAGATATGTAGTAAAACAGATGAAATCATATTATATTCATAAAACAAAAATGGACAAATTGAATGTAATCATTTTCTTTCAAATATGTGAAATAGCCAATAATATTCCATAAATAAATGTGAAAACCCGCTATTATTGCAAAAATATCCACAATAACATACATAATAAGAAAAACGGAAAAAACTAAAGAATAGGGACAACAAAGAGAATACAAGGATTTGAACATAAACTGACAAGTCTCTACCTTTACCTATTCTCTTTAATTCATTGATCTTAACCATGTTAACCTTGCGGCTACCAAATTATACTATATGATTGCCTATTATGTATATATAAAGGTACAAGCCCTGTGTGTCCGTTGTACCGATGTGTATCATATGTTCATTTATATATATATAATAGACATTTAAATTGCAACCCATTGGTAGCCGAGAGGTTTCGTTGATGTGTTGATGTCAGTCACACATAACAGATTTCAAGGACGGGTTTGATTCCCAAATAAAAATTACAAAAATTAAAGGTAATTTTTAAAATTACTTCCATTAGTGAACAGAAATCAGTAAATAAACCAATTCAAACTTAATGAAATTAGACACACAAAGGAAACAATTGAATATAATTTGGTTAGCTCATTTCTGCGACAGATTTAGGAAGCGTTGATTCTAGAAAAAGAATCCACGGCAAATGAATAGGCTGACGTCACGACAATGGTTTAAGTATATCTGTTTCCTACTGACTGATTGATAATGAACTAAAGCCTACAATTTAAATTTAATGCATGCTTGTAGCTCTACAGTTTCTCTTTTCTGTTGTAGCAAAGGACAAAAAGATATTAATGTTCCCTGAAATGCGTCAAAAGTTGACCAACCTAGATATGACTCAGCATTGGAAAGCTGTTTTGGAGGTACATTATTATTTTCATGAACAATGTATAAACGTGTATATCAGAAGTAAATTTTTTTTTCAATCATAATTTTTTACCCCCTTTCACATAGTGTGTGGTATACTGCATTCACCTTATCTGTCTGTTTACCCTTCTGTCCATCTGAATCTTTTGTTGTATATAACATTGCCTCAGTGTAATGGAATGATTTGATATTATGCTCCAGTCTTGGGGTGGGGGCTGTATTGTAATCACCTTTTCTGTCAGTCTATTCCTTTGTCTGTCTGTTTACCCTTCTGTCCAACTGAATCTTTTATTGTATATACATGTAACATTGCTTCAGTGTAATGGAATGATTTGATATTATACTCCAGTCTTGGAGTGGGGGCTGTATTGTAATCACCTTTTCTGTCAGTCTATTCCTTTGTCTGTCTGTTTAACCTTCTCTCCATCTATTCCTTTGTCTAACAAATACTTTCATCAAACTTTTCTCAGGAATAACTGAACATAAAGACTTGATATTTGGTAAGCAGCTTGACATTGATGAGTTGTAACTTGTGAGCATCTTCATAACTGTCCTTGTCTGTCTTTTCATATGTCAAATAACCTTGACCCAGCCTTTACACTCCAGGGATCAGGGTTGTTTTTAGGATGTATATTTCTATGTCACTATCCATGACGGGTCAATAATATTTGCTATATGGATTACTTCCAACTAGTATATGTTCTTCTGACATAATTCAATCTGCCTTGACCTCCACTTCAGACTCAATTCAAAATTAGTTCATGGCCTGTTAAAAAAATATTCCAGTATTACAGCAAGGCATTTATTGTGTCCATTTTAAAAAAAAATTTTTATTCACATTAAGTTTAAACTGAACTTGATATGTGTAATCTATTATATGATTGCAAGTTTGGTACATGTAATTTGGTCTGGATATCATTGACTTTTAAATTATATTGCTGTCTGAATCATTTAAGCAGATAAAACTCTTGTTTTTGTTTTGTTTTAGGTTATGTCAAGATCTCCAGATAAGTTTTTCAAGAACAAACTACAGATGTTAGAATATATATTGGACAAAAATCCAACTATTTTGAAAGACATCGTGGGTTATTATAAATCAGTGGTAAGATTGTTATTTAAAGTGTGATTATTTTTTTTTTGGTGCGGATATATTCAGAGGAGTACCGTAAAAATGAAATTTGCATTCCCAGGTAGTAGTCAGGTTGTCCTTGTTTGTTTTAGAGACTAAACATTCACACTGGAGAGGAAAAGTTGGTAAATACCAGTTGTACTTATGTTGAACAAGATGCTAGTTACCCAAATTTTCTTTAAAATGGCATGGACCATAAAAAAATATACAGATAAATATGTTACTGTGGGGATAACTTGTATTATATTGTTGACAATTAAACATGTGCACATAAAAAAATGACAAAAAAATAGTTTACAGATAAAATAGTAATCCAGTCAACCTAATATTGATTTCATGACATATGACCTGGATATATAGAGAATAAGTTTAATCATGTTAATCATTTCAAACGAATATAAATTCATTTTAAGTTCTGTTAAAAGTTAAAGTCAAATTTGACATAAAAAATATAATGTTGATGCATATAACTCATTAAAAACTAGTTTCTTTTAAGCATTTTATATGATCTTATTTCATTTTAGGGCAGTTTTCTTGGTTATGGTGCCAGAGATATGTTAAGACAGAGAGGAATTAGTATTGACAGAAATATGGTAAGTTAAGATTGCCTGATGAAGGATATAAATTACTTAACTCACTACCTAAAGAACAAGATATCACAACTGATATGTTCTACATTAACAAAGAGTATACACTAACATTAAATAAAACATCAAGTACCATCAATGCTGTTAGCCAGACAATCTAACTGCATCACAATAAAGCAGCACATCCAAACATGTAAATTATTACATTAAATAATTTCTTTATAAATGTATTATTCAAAGCAACTTTATGGAAGCTCTCTTTTCAATTGAACAAGTAACTTGGTTGAAAAGCCACTCTTTTTTAGAATTTATTCTACCAGAATTATTTTGTAAAATACTGATAAAACCTATCATTATTTCTTTATCTAACATAAACAGCTCAGAATGGTATTTCACATGTACTTCTAGACTTGAAATCATAAAGATTAATATTTGATATATTATTATTAAAATAGGAACTATATGAAAGTGCACTTGATTAAAATTGAATTTATCAGCCTCCATTGAAAAATATTCAAAAATATTTGTTTTGCATTTAAGGACAAATTGAATAGAAGAAGAAGATGTTTTTTATTTCCATTTAATGGGCTCACAAGAAGCAAATTACAAAAAAAAAATTATTTTATAAAACAATGATCCTATATAAAACAAAGGAAAATAGTTTGAACCTATATAAACTCCACATATATATATATATATAAATGATTTTAAAAGTTTAATACCTCTGTGTCAGGCACATCCCAACAAATTTTTTTTTTAGAATAAATTGGTGTATAAAAATGATTAAACTGGTATTGTATACTTTCTGCACATCATTTACACATTTATGGTTTAATTTGATTATATGATTTTACTTTAAAATTAAGAATTCTTTCAAATCTTAAAATCTTGAATAGTGACTTAGAGTTATATTGAATGGCTTAAAGTGATAAAAAAGTATGTCTGAGCAAATTGAAATGGAAAGTGACAGCTTACAGTATGGTCCATTTCAAACAGTGTTCAATTAAAAAACCTAAAATAGACTACAACATTTTGAAGTTTGACCAAGGACTGGTCAGGTCAGAGTTGGGGAAATCTTTTTCATTTAAAGGAATATAGGTCATCGAGTGGACAACCACATTGTGAGCTTGTACATTTAAAATTCTATTGCAGGGATTTGTTTACACAAAGTAATCTTACACTGTATAGTCTATGATATGATCTGTGTATAAAAAACACATAATTGTCCTCAGCGGACGTGTTGCAGATGAACATAGGAATGGTGGGCGTCAGTGCAGTCTTGTAAGGGCTCTCACATGTACAATTCTTGCCAGATTTTTATGAAATTTATATCAAAGGGTTATATCAGCAATGTCTCAGGACAAGATCAAAATCAATTTTTTTTTAAAGGATTATGCCCCTTGGAAATATAAATTTTTCGAAAAATTGTATTGTAAGCGTTCTCAAGCCTACATTTCTTAAGATAAAGTTTTAAAGAACAAAAAAATGTTTGTTTGTGAAAGTTATTGCCCTTGGACAGATAAAATATGTGCAATGTGGGGGACATTGGATCGTCCTTTTATTAAATCTGAATATCTGATATAATTAATGTTTGTATCAGAAATTCCCTCTTTGCCAACTCAAAACAAAAAGAATGTAATCTATGGTGTATTTGGAGACCAATTTGGAAATTATTATTTTATACGACTGCAAAAAAAATTTTGGGATCGTATAATGGTATGATGTCGTCTGTGTCGTCGTCCGAAGACACATTGGTTTCCGGACAATAACTTTAGTTTAAGTTGATGGATCTCTATGAAATTTTTTAAGAAGGTTCAATACCACAAAAGGAAAGTTGGGATTGATTTTGGGGATGCTGGTCCCAACCGTTTAGGAATTAGGGGCCCAAAAGGGGCCCAAAACAAACATTTTTCTAGTTTCAGGATAATAACTTGTGTATAAGTATTTCGATTGTTCTGAAATTGTACAACAATGTTTAATACCACAAGTAGAAGGTTGGGATTCATATTAGGGGTTATGGGGCAAACAGTTTAGGAATTAAGGGCCTAAAATGGGCCAAAAACAACAATTTTTGTAGTTTCCGGACAATAACTTGTGTGTAAGTGTATGATCTCTCTGATATTGTACCATAAGGTTCCATATCACAAAGGGAAGGCTGGGATTGAGTTTGGGGGTAATTGGCTCAAACATGTAGGAATTAGGGGCCAAAAAAGGGCCAAAAACATGCATTATTCTAGTTTCCAAACAATAACTTGTGTTAGATGTGTATGGATCTCTCTGAAATTGTACTACAAGGTTCCATACTACAAAGGAAAGAATTGGATCGAGTCTTGGGGTAATTACTACAAGGGGGGATTCCAAAAGTTGCAGGGGGGGGTTTCCAATTTTTTTAAGGAATTCATATTTTTTTCAAATTTTGTAAAAGTTTCAAGAAGTAATCTTCAATTGCACAGTATTGCACAATAGATTTGTAAGATCTTTTACCACATTTAGTTTGTGTCAGAAACCTTTATTATGTCAAAAATTTGATCACAATCAAAATTCAGACAGTATCAAGCTTGAATATTATATCCAAATTTGCCCCAACTGTTCAGGGTTCGACCTCTGTGGTCGTATCAGGCTGCGCTCAGCGAAGCATTTTATTTAGGTCTTTGTTGTAGACTTTTGTAAATCACAGTTTTGAATAATGAAATTTTAATGCAGTTTTTAATAGTCATTCCTTTATTTATTTCTACAGAGCAGATGGACAAATTATACAGACCCTGATGAGGTAAGAGCCATGACAAGTTAGGAACAAATTAACAGTGGCTTTCATAAAGCTAACCTCAACATCAACATTTTTTCTGCATTTTAACTAACATGAGCTGCATTGGATAGAAATCAACCTTATGCAAATAAATATCAATACATCTGTTAACCTAGTTTTGATTGAAAAAATCTCTATGCAAAGTCTGTAACTGTTTAAGAATTGAGCTGATATAAGAACTCTACAAAACAAGACCAAAAATTCATCATTTAGCTCGTATTTAAATGTACCAAAATCAACCAAAGTCTTATACATGTACAGGTCGATTTCTATCTGAAACAGCTCATATATTTAAAGCTGTAACTGAAAAAAAAACACTCTTGGAACATAAATATAAGTATTACAGTTGACAAAAATACAAATAAAAGTTAAACAATTCTTGCTTAAATTTTACAATTTGATCTTTTGCAATGTCCAAATCATACATTTTAAAGAATTTCCTCAAAAAACAAAATATAGTAGATTTAGGTGTTTTTCTAACTGCATATAATCAAATCAATGTTTAAATATAGATTCCACCACTTCATCGAGTGAGATACAATATTTATCCACTTGAGACAGTTAAATTTTCAAATTTAAAATGAGAGGCTTGCCGAGCGTTTAAAATATATAAAATTTAACTGTCGAGAGTGGAGAAATATCGTATTTACGAGATTTGGTGGTGGAATTTATTTCTCTAATGATTTTTAGACGATATGCAAACAATCCTAATCCTTCTTTCGAACGACCTGCAAAAAGATGTGTTCTTTCTATATGACGTCATCAGACATGGTCGCCTGTTTTCATGACATCACAATAGGAATTTTAGAGGAAAGCAAGAAAATTTGACCAATGAAGAACTGAGATCAAACGAACCACACGTTGATTAAATAAAAATAATCAACGGGTCAGGAAAAGGATAAATCGAGTAAGAATTAGAGAAACAAAAATATTTATATGTTTAATATGTATCAGGCATTTCATAAAAAGAAAAGCTGCAATTGTTCACATTTACAAAACAAAACCAGGCATTGCCAAGATATCTGTTGATGCTCTCCCAAATAATGAAATTGTCTTAGTGAAAACTATCTTTAAAATTTGTTTTATTATTCAGTCAAAGAAGAGAAGAGAGATAGTTCAAATGATTGATCAATTTAGAAATCTTTTTGCTGATCAGGTAATTGATTTTAAGGTATAGATATATGGATTTCATATGAATCATTATTCTATCACTGACTATAGGATCAGCATTATATGATCTTCGTAGAATATTAATTTACTACCATAAAAACATATATCACTGGCTGTAGTCAAGGTGCACTAAACATCTTTCTCCATAGGTATGAATATTCACTTTCCCATTTATATAGAGTGATCTTTTAAGAAAGACCTATAACAGTACCATACCTAATACCTTATACATCATATAATGTCTTTTTTTAATCAGTTCCTTGCCTGACATAAGCCATAGACTTGCTACTGGCATCACATAAGACAGTTGTCATCATATAAGAAATAAGAAATTTTAAGACACTGTACTTTGGCCAAGTAAAAAAATGTTTTTCTATTTTTTCTATTTTTGTTTTTTCGTTCCAGAGTTAGGGACTTTGAACTTTGAATTAAAGCAATATTTCATATATCATGAACTTTAAATTAAAGCAATATTTCATATATCATGAATTACCTCAAGTATGCCTGAAATTTAATCAGAACTTAAAAAAATTATTGTTGGGATTGATAAAAAGAAGCTCCATTTGGATTTTTGTCTCGCCTTGAGGGAGTCAAAAAACAAGACATAGGTATGCTGTTTCCAGTTGGCGGCAACAAAGTATTAGTTTATGATTAGGTCAGTTTATGGGGAACCACTTATGGTATGTCAATGATATTTGGTATTCAGTTGTATTAGCTATAGTTTGATCAAGTTAATACAAATTTTACACTGTTGTTGGGAATGGTGAATGTAGACTTGATTTTGAAAATTTTCTGGTTTGTAATTCCAGAGTTATGGGACTTTTAACAGTCATAATTGACATAATACTTATATGCCTAAGGGTATCCTCGTGCATGTTTTTCTTAAGAGCCATTCTATTTGCTTCTGATTAAAAGTATTTTAAATTTCCCATTTTTTTTTGCAACAAGTTCAATATGCACAATATGGGTGTATGGCACAGCTTTTTATTTTAGATGTCATCCTTATTATATCTTGTTTCAAATTAGTTCCTGACGTCACCATTTTATGCCCCCACCGTAGCGGAAGGGGCATTAAGTGTTACCCTTGTCTGTACTTCCGTCCCATCTGTCTGTCTCATCTGTCCGCCCAGAACATCCCCAAAATTGGTTTCCGTTCTCTAACTTAAGTTTGCCTCAACCAAATGTTATAAAACTTATACACAATGCTTATTACCACAAAACACAGATCAAGTTAAAAATTGGGCGGCATCACTTTTACTGCTCATGAGTTATGCCCCTATATAAACAAAAATTGCTGATTTTTTGTTTCCGTTCTCTTACTTTCGTTTGCCTCAACCAAATGTTATAAAACTTATACACAATGCTTATTACCACAAAACACAGATCAAGTTCGAAATTGGGTGGCATAACTTTTACTGTTCATGAGTTATGCCTCTTTATAAACATAAAAATTGCTGAATTTTTTGTTTCAGTTCTTTAACTTTAGTTTGCCTCAACCAAATGTTACAAGACTTATACACAATGCTTATTACCACAAAACACAGATCAAGTTTGAAATTGCGGGGTGTCGCTTTTACCGTTCCTGAGTTGTGCTCCTTTATAAATTGAAAAATTCCGTTTTCTAACTTCAGTTTGCCTCAACCAAATGTTATGAAACTTACACACAATGCTTATAATCACAAAACAGTCTAAATGACGTTAATCCTGCATCTGTATGTGGAAGTTGACTCATGCATAGTTACAAGCGGGGGCATCTGTGGCCCATAGACACATTCTCCATTTATTTTTAAAGGAGTAGGTCCGGTAAGGGCCGATTTTGGCCTCAAATTTCAGATTCATCTGATGAAAGATTTTGGACACTTTTTAAACACTTAAGTGTCTACTTCAGTCAATTCAATTCGTTTATGTGAAAGATTTTAACTGATTTAGTCATTAAAGACGCTCAAATTCAAGCTTTAACATGAAAAAGCTATCAAATATGCCATAATATGTCACTTTTCACATGGTTTTTGTCAAAAATGAAAGTGGCCGCATCCGTGTTCATCCTCAACCTTTATATATGTTGCGTATTATCATCAAATACAACTGACATGTAAATATTAAGAATGAACACAAATGCGGCCACTTCCATTTAAGACGAAAACCGTCTAAAATTTAACTCAAATGCTAAAATTGTGAAGATTTCAGTAATTTAGCATCACTTAACGCTGCTAGTACCCCATATATGTGCATTGTATTGTCAAATACAGCCCATATTTATGTAGCAGAAGTATTCTACTTTCCAATAAATATATAAAAGTTTACATTTTAACAATTTTGTAAAACTGCTATATTTTGGGGCCCAAAAGGGGTCTTACTGAACCTACTCCTTTTTCAAAAGTGTTGTCAGGTGAATACACCCAGAAAAATCAGGATATACTTCATATAAAAAAAAATATTACTTTACAGCTCTTTTCATAATGCTAGCAAGACAAAGAATTGTTTGGCTTTGATTGATTGGACATTATCAAATAATCAAATTTACCTATACACAGGTTTAACTACGCCTACTTGTATTGTTTGCAGCTGTCAATTTTAATTACAATGCTTGAGCAAACATTTATATAAACAAAGCAAGCAAGTCAAACAAACCTTTGCCTTTCTAGCATTATGAAAAGAGCTGTAACATTAGTATGTATAATGAACAGATAATGAACAGATACAAGGATGATACAGCTGCTTGGAGCCTCTAGTTTTGAGTTAAATCTTACATAGATTGACAACTACAGAAGATTGGTTCGCTCATGAATGAATCAATTTCTGTTAAGAAACATTGTATTTGATACAACTGTTTAAGAAAAAATCCATTACACATGTACAAACAAAAATATTTCTATATTTTATACATAATAATGAAAAATATGTGTAGCTGCCTCTGCAAAAAAATATGAAATTGACCATAGAGGCTAATATTTTTAATGTCCTAAAATTTTAAAAACTTTACTACTACATTATGCATAAGAATTAGAGGAAGAAAAAGGAGTAAGGTACAACACATCAGTCAGAATTTGTATCCCCCCCCCCAATCCGTTGGAGGGGGCGTTAAGTTTTACCATTGTCTGTAAGTCCAAATATTAGTTTTAGCTCTCTAACTTTAGTTTGCATCAACCAAATGTTATAAAACTTAAATACAATGCTTATCACCACCAAACACAGATCAAGTATGAATTTGGGTGGCGTCACTTTCAACGTTCTTGAGTTGTGTCCTTTTATAAATTGATAAATTGCTGAATTTGCAGTAAAATTACAAAAAGGGGCATCTGTGTCCAATGGAAATATTTCTTCTTTTATTTTAAATGTTAATGTCATTTTTATTCCAGAAAATAGATGAAGCTGAAAAAGTATTACATAGTATAGAAGATACTGGGGTGAAAATACTATCATCATATGTTATACGTGTGGCATTGAGGATATATTCACTCTACAGGAAAAATTTGTTACTTAGTTTGAAATATCTAACTATTCTGTAAGTATTTTTACTCATTTTATCACCTCAAGAATGAAAAGGTCAGCACTGTAAATAAATCCCTAGCCTATTTGAGGTTTTAATTATTAGATCAGTTCTTCATATATCATGATTAAAGGTCAATTACAGTTGGTTAAGGGAATCATTTTAAGGTGTACATGTTTTTCTGAAAGGAGTCATCTGACTTTGATCTCTTTTCACGGTATTTTTAGATAGATTGGTTCTTCTAGATGGTGCTTTTATTATTTTACAGATTTAGACATTGAACTTATTTTTGTCACGTAGACATTATTACATAGAGTTTCAATTTTTTGCAATGGTTAGCTGATTTTTAATCAATCAATGGTCCTTGTACTTTTAATTTTCCATGTAATTCCTTATTAGAACAAATGGGTAAAGGCAATGCTCAGATTTTGTTGGAAGTTTTATGAATTATTCAATTTATATGTTAAAATTACATAACAACATAACAGCATCAGTTTATTCCATTATATTTGATTTTAATCAAGGAAGAAGATTTATCAGATCTAATATGCCTTTATGAAAATGAAATTAACAGTTGCAAAAATTAAAGAAATGAAAGAAATATGTGCAAATGTTTTAATGTATACTTTTAGTGAAACTGATTTTCCTGAAAGCCAATACTGGAATGAATTATTAATGACTTCTGGATTACTGATAAAAGCAGGACAATTTGAAGGTAAATTTCACTGCTAGTTTTATTGACATGTAGTTCACTTTACTGGCTTCACAGTAACCATTAACATTTAAATAAAATGCATTAGTCCATATGTTGTTATAATAACTACAATATTGGAGCATTTACAAGTATGATTTGTGGCTGGATTATGTATGTCATTTGTTTATCATATACATATACCCCCCCCCCCCCCCCCCTTTTCCACTCTTTAAGAGTGTGACTATTTGCATTCACCATGTGTCTGTCCATTGGTTAGTACTTTTTATACGACCGCAAAAAAATTTTGTGGTCGTATATTGGTATGACGTTGGCGTCGTTGTCGTCCGGCGTCATCATCCGAAGACACATTGGTTTTCGCACTCTAACTTTAGTTTAAGTGAATGGATCTTTTTGAAATTTGACCATAAGGTTAAATACCACAAAAGGAAGGTTGGGATTGATTTTGGGGGTTATGGTACCAACAGTTAAGGAATTAGGGGCCAAAAAGGGGCCAAAAATAAGCATTTTCTAGTTTCCAGACAATAACTGTGGAACGGTGTATGGATCTCTCTGAAATTATACTACAAGTTTCCATACCACAAAGGGATGGTTAGGATTTGCTTTGGGGGGTTATGGCTCAAACCGTTTAGGAATTAGAGGCAAAAAAGGGGGAAAAACAAGGTTGTCCTGGTTAATGGACAAATACTTTAGTACAAAACATAATTTAAAGCAGTGTAAGGGAGATAAATCAAATACATCATTGAAATTATCTCCCTTACACTGCTTTTAAATTATGTATAAAGTAATGGTTAATGAACAATTAAGATAATTTAAAACAGTGTAAGGGAGGTAATCCAAATACAACGTTTTGGTTACTTCCCTTACACTGCTTTTAAATTATGTTTAAAGAAATGCATATTTATAAAGGAAGACCAGTAAAAATATCTGCAAATGTTGCATCATTTTTTTTTACAAAAAAATCCATATGAAAGATTTGACACTATATTTTTAATTCTATTATAAAATAGATTAAGTTAGCACTATGGTAAATTTAAATGGGTAATTATGGTTGCCAACTCCATTGGAAATTTGAATTGAGATTATGACCATATCTTGAGGGAAAAAGGGGGGGGGGGGGATAAAAAGAAATTGTGGGGGGTCATTTTTTTCTCATTTCAGATTTCAGAAATTAAAAAGAATTATTCTTCAAATATTATTTTTTTTTCAAATTTAAAATATTGAAAAATTTCAAGAAGTAATCTTTAATTGCACAGTATGGCGCATTAGATTTGTAAAATCTTTGATCACATTTATTTATTTGTTATGCCGAATCTAACAGTGTATTTAGATTTTTAATTTTGGGTCCAGTTTTCAAAATAGTCTACATTAAGGTCCAAAGGGTCCAAAATTAAACTTTGTTTGATTTTAGCAAAAATTGAATATATGAGGTTCTTTGATATGCTGAATCTAAACATGTATTTAGATTTTAGATTTTTTGCCCAGTTTTCAAGTTGGTCCAAATTGGGGTATTAAACTTTGTTTGATTTCAACAAAAATTGAATATATGGGGTTCTTTGATATGCTGAATCTAACCATGTATTTAGATTTTTTATTTGTGGACCCCGCTATCAAATTGGTTCATATTGAGGTCAAAAGGGTCCAAAATTAAACTTTGTTTGATTTCATCAAAAATTGAATTATTGGGGCTCTTTGATATTCCAAATCTAACCGTGTATTTAGATTTTTAATTTTAAGTCCCGTTTTTTAAATTGGGCTGCATTAAGGTCCAAAGGGTCCAAAATTAAACTTAGTTTGATTTTAACAAAAATTGAATTCTTGGGGTTCTTTGATATGCTGAATCTAAACATGTGTTTAGATTTTTGATTATGGGCCCAGTTTTCAAGTTGGTCCAAGTTGGGGTCCAAAATTAAACTTTTTTTGATTTCAACAAAAATTGAATATATGGGGTTCTTTGATATGCTGAATCTAACCATGAATTTAGATTTTTTATTTGTGGGCTACGCTATCAAATTGGTTCATATTGAGGTCAAAAGGGTCCAAAATTAAACTTTGTTTGATTTCATCAAAAATTGAATTATTGGGGTTCTTTGATATTCCAAATCTAACCGTGTATTTAGATTTTTAATTTTAAGTCCCGTTTTTTAAATTGGGCTGCATTAAGGTCCAAAGGGTCCAAAATTAAACTTAGTTTGATTTTAGCAAAAATTGAATTCTTGGGGTTCTTTGATATGCTGAATCTAAACATGTGTTTAGATTTTTGATTATGGGCCCAGTTTTCAAGTTTGTCCAAGTTGGGGTCCAGTATTTAAACTTTGTTTGATTTCAACAAAAATTGAATATATGGGGTTCTTTGATATGCTGAATCTAAACATGTATTTAGATTTTTTATTTGTGGACCCCGTTATCAAATTGGTTCATATTGAGGTCAAAAGGGTCCAAATTAAACTTTGTTTGATTTAATCTAAAATTGAATTATTGGGGCTCTTTGATATTCCAAATCTAACCGTGTATTTAGATTTTTAATTTTGGGTCCTGTTTTTTAAATTGGTCTACATTAAGGTCCAAAGGGTCCAAAATTAAACTTAGTTTGATTTTAACAAAAAATGAATTCTTGGGGTTATTTGATATGCTGAATCTAAACATGTGTTTATATTTTTGATTATGGGCCCAGTTTTCAAGTTGGTCCAAGATAGGGTCCAGTATTTAAACTTTGTTTGATTTCAACAAAAATTGAATATATGGGGTTCTTTGATATGCTGAATCTAAACATGTATTTAGATTTTTGATTATGGGCCCAGTTTTCAAGTTGGTCCAAATTGGGGTCCAAAATTAAACTTTGTTTGATTTCAACAGAAATTGAATATATGAGGTTCTTTGATATGCTGAATCTAACCATGTATTTTGATTTTGGACATTGGACCATAACAGGTAAATTAAAAAAAATCAAGTTCTTAGACCTCAGTCTTTCCGTGTCAGAAACCTATGCTGTGTCAAATATTTAATCACAATCCAAATTCAGATCTGTATCAAGCTTGAATGTTGTGTCCATACTTGCCCCAACTGTTCAGGGTTCGACCTCTGCGGTCGTATCAAGCTGCGCCCCAGCGAAGCATTTTATTAGATTTGTTAGACTCTTCTTCCTCCTTTGCCATTACTTTGAATTTTTCAATATGTCGAATGAACTTTTATATTTTCATCAGACATATTCCCAGCACCATTGAACAGAACGACTTAATATGTAATGTCAGTAATGCTTTCTTGACATATTTTACTCATTTCCAAGTTATCGTTAAAGAAAACCATATAGATGAGTGCTACCACTGAATAACTAACATTAAATTGAACCTTAGATGACTTTTTAGATCTTCACTCTAAAGGAGGGGGCATACTGACTGGTTTATCTCTGTCTGTAACATATTTCTGTCAAGTTTATTTTTTAGTAGCAACAAGTCATATGGTACTGAGCTTTGTCAGGTTATTGATACCACAACATGTCATTGGTTCCTTCCATGCATAAAATTTTCATCACATAGAGTTAATTAAATTGAATGGGAGTATGATTGGTGGGCAATTGCTCACAATAAATATTGTTTTTTAAGAGATGATGTCTAACATAAAAATAAGGTGGCACAGCTTTCAAAAATATATAATATGATATATTGCAGATGATTTTTTTGTCGAGCCTGCGACTTTTGTCGCAGAAAGCTCGACATAGGGATAGCGATCCGGCGGCGGCGGCGGCGGCGGCTACGGCGGCGGCGGCGGCGTTAGCTAACTTCTTAAAAGCTTTATATTTTAGAAGATGGAAGACCTGGATGCTTCATACTTTGTATATGGATGCCTCATGTTACGAAGTTTCAGTCAGTCACATGTCCAATGTCCTTGACCTCATTTTCATGGTTCAGTGACTACTTGAAAAAAAAGTTCAGATTTTTTGTAATGTTAAATTCTCTCTTATTATAAGTAATAGGATAACTATATTTGGTATGTGCGTACCTTGCAAGGTCCTCATGCCCGTCAGACAGTTTTCACTTGACCTCGACCTCATTTCATGGATCAGTGAACAAGGTTAAGTTTTGGTGGTCAAGTCCATATCTCAGATACTATAAGCAATAGGTCTAGTATATTCGGTGTATGGAAGGACTGTAAGGTGTACATGTCCAACTGGCAGGTGTCATCTGACCTTGACCTCATTTTCATGGTTCAGTGGTTATAGTTAAGTTTTTGTGTTTTGGTCTGTTTTTCTTATACTGTATGCAATAGGTCTACTATATTTGGTGTATGGAATGATTGTAAGGTGTACATGTCTAGCTGGCAGGTGTCATCTGACCTTGACCTCATTTTCATGGTTCAGTGGTCAAAGTTAAGTTTTTGAGTTTTGGTCTTTTTTTCTAATACTGCATGCAATAGGTCAGCTATATTTGGTGTATGGAATGATTGTAAGGTGTACATGTCTAGCTGGCAGGTGTCATCTTACCTTGACCTCATTTTCATGGTTCAGTGGTCAAAGTTAAGTTTTTGAGTTTTGGTCTTTTTTTCTAATACTATATGCAATAGTTCAACTATATTTGGTGTATGGAAATATTTTATGATCTATATGTCAGTCACGCAGGTTTTATTTGACCTTGACCTCATTTTCAAGGTTCATTGCTCAGTGTTAAGTTTTTGTGTTTTCGTCTGTTTTTCTTAAACTATAAGCAATAGATCAACTATATTTGTTGTATGGAAGAATTGTTAGCTGTACATGCCTGCCTAGCATGGTTCATCTGACCTTGACCTCATTTTCATGGTTCATTGGTCAATGTTTAGTTTACTTGGTTAATGTTAAGTTTATGTGACAGTTGTAATAAAGCTTTATATTTAGGACTATCAACATAATATCAATGATTAGTAAAGAAGGCGAGACATTTCAGCGTGTGCACTCTTGTTTTATCTTGGAATGTTTAAAAACGTGTAAAAGTCTATGATTTAGTATTTGGTAATTAAATATTAGATTTCTTATATGATAATTATAGTGTTGATGTAACAAATAAACTGCTTCACAGGTACTGTATAGATTGTTGAAGTTAGTAATAAGATGATCCACAGTATTAACTATTTATATTTACAAACAAAACATTCACTATGCTGTTCTTGGCTAAAACAACTATTTTATGATATTAATTTTGCTAGTAGATATCCATACAAGTCATTTGAAGATAATTTATAAGAAATTTAATTTTATGTGACATTGTTTTTAAGTAACTTGTACAAATGTAAAGAAAGAGTCTTTTAACCCTATCAAACAAACAAATGTTCAAATATTGATAGTTTCTTAGTAATCTGGGCCAACGATTGGCTTATTAGAGGTAATTTATGTTATTTTCTTCTTTCAGTTACACTATATACATAGTGTTGATATGTAATATTAGAATTTGAATCATATGTTTAATTATGTTTAAATGTACTTTGTAGAAGTAATGCCTCACATTAAGTTGTATGCTGACAGATGCAGTATGAGTTTACCGCTTCAATTTAGAACTGATGTTTTGGAGTTCCTTGCTGAAAGTATGGCTGAAAAACTTGAACCGGGTGAATCAGTTGACTTTCTATTAAAACTGAGTGATATCTCTTTCATACAAAAAAATACTGAGGTTTTGATGATGAAGTTTTTAATGAAAGAATACATGAAAAGGTATTTCATTTATATTTATTTACACAGAATATCAATGAATGTACCCTTTTTTTTTAATCTCTGACAACTATTCATATTGTGAGATTTTATGTGTAAATAAAAGTGTGTGAATATATTAATGCGTTAAAAACTCGTCCTATTTTTGAATTGATGAAATCATCACAATAATGTCTGAATTTGCAATGTATGAATTATGATTTGTAATATCTTGTCTTTACATGGTTTAAATAACATTTGATATTTTGATATTTATGATGTTTGCTGATTGAATTTCTAATATAAATTTCAACAGAGAACATATCTTTTCATTCAATAGTAATTAGTTAATGGGAAATTTAGTAAAATCTTGAGTGGAATACTCTCAATTTCTGGCTTAAAAATGGACCTTTGAAGTTTATATTCATTTATTCTACACTGGAATATGTTGGTCTGTAGTTCTCTGGTTATAATATATCAGAACATTCCAACTAGGTGATTTAACTAATGCTGTATTTTTGTGATAGAACTATGTACTTAATATGTCATCTTTTCAGTAGATAAGATTGTTATACTAAAAAAAAAAATTGAAGTAAATAATACAGTTCATACAAAGTTTGAGCATTTTTGGCCTGTGGAAATTCTCAAACATGGGTTTACTTATTCATTGTCTAAAACCAACCAAGTTGTATGGCTAAAAATGAAAGGGTCCATTTTAAAAAATCTTCTTTGGAGATTCTGAATATAGGTAGAATGTTCACTGTTTGGTTATTGGTTGCATGGATAATCAATATAGTTTTTGAATGGCAACTTTATGATTAGGAATTATCCTTGCCACACATTGAATCTTTGAATCCCATAATGTTATCATCATGTATATTGTTTTAAATTGGCTACTTAATAAGAAATGTTCTTTCAAAAATGATACTTGTCAAAACTTGGTCTTTTGATTTCTATAGATGAATCTATAATTTCAATCAAGTTTTGACACTAAAATAATACTTATAAATAAACTGATTCCTTACTTCAGGGTAGTCAACTAAATTGTGAGTGATATATGCTCTGTTTGGTCTGAAGTAATCAATTCAATATTTGTCAGAGTTCAAACTTTCTACCAAAAAAATGATATAAACAACAGGAGGAGGTCCTTATGAATAACAAAAATGCATCCAATGACACAGATTTAATTATTATTTCAGAGATGATCCCACTCTTCCAAGGAAAATAGTTGATCTTGTAATATCAAGAAAGAATTTAGGGATGATGTCATTGTTTCAAATGTTTAATTTCTTCATTGTAAAGGAGGATAACACAGCATTACAAGAAGGTTTGTATACATACTTTAAGTCAGAGCTCATACTATTTCAAGAAGGAAATGACTTCTCTTTCTGAGTTTGACAGGGAGGACTGTAAAGTGACTTGCAACACTGGTTGTTTGCTTCAGTATTGTTGGTTTGCTACCTGTTCTCACATTTGGTTTGTTTGCCGTGAATAAAACATTTGCAATATCTTTCTATATGTAGGCATTATTACAGTCTGGTTTTTACCTTTTTTGCCAAAGGCGGAAGAAGGTCTAATAACCGCTCAACTCTGTTCATATTTCCGTCAATGCTTTTTTGGCTTCTATGAAAGGGAATGATTTAATATTTGGTCTGCATCTTGATAATGGTGAGTTGAAGTGAGTAAGTAAATTTTCTGCCGTGTAGCTACTTCCTGTTTACCTTTGAAATTTTTCAACACTTATTGTACAAGGAAAATTTTTGTCAAAGTTTTCAACACTCATTGTACGAGTGAATGGTTTTAATATTTAGTCAGGGATTGATAAGTTTGTTACGATATACATTTAACCTCAATCAAGTGCATGCAGCGACACAGGTCCAGACCTGGTATTGGTTGTTAATTGAAAGTTTATCATTTATTACATTTGAGTTTATTTAATTGTAAGGCTTTTATCTGTTGTTATTATTAGTTTTAATAAGTTAACTTTCTATATAAACTATTATACTATGATCTATTTATATCATAAGATGTTTTTGAACTATCCAATGTAATGGAACTCAACATTATAATTCTTATTTTTCAGTAACTGACATTTTTATAACTCAACACAGTCAATCATATGTACTTGTGAACCTACTTGGTTCTCTGGTTTACAATAATAAAGTACAGCCAGCAAAAGAACTCCTCCAGGTATGTATGTTCTTTATATCTAATGTTTATCAGCTTTTTTCTTGATTCGTGTTATTCTCTGTTGTAAAGATTCAAGCAATATAACTAAGAATGTCTTCTTAAAATAGAAAAACAAAGGATATGGGGTATCCATCCATGACACAAAATCAGTACATGCACAGCAAAAAACACACAAAAAGCAACGTAACAGCACTTTTATTGCTGTTCTTCATCTCAAAGTCACAGTGAGGCCTTCAACACCGAGCAAAAAAACTCTTACCTCACTGCAAGTTTAAGACGGCCCCTAGCACCACCTTGAGCGGAATTCTTTGCAAAATTGATTTGGATAAACTTTGTTAGATGAAACACCACCAAATCAGGCCCTGTCAAAAAAGAACATACTGGAAAGTAGTACATATTTAAAACAAAATAGTTCCTACTCAAAGGTGTAAATATAAAACTATGTAGAATATATTTTAGTAATTGAGGTATCAGATGAAAGGTGAAGGACTGGTGATCCTTGTAGACCACATATTGACTGATAATTTTGAATAATACAAAAACGTATGAATGAAATCTGAAATTGAGGGCATATATTGCCTGTTTCTCAGAAATGAAATACCTGGTTTGGTGTATCCAAAATTCTGGTAACCAGTATCGTCTGATGTATAAATAACAATTTATTGATCCCTCTCCCTTAAAATGTTTGGAAGTGAAAAATTTAACGTGGATAGGAATGAGGGCCAAGAATAGGTGGTATGCGTCTTTAGTACACAAACTGGCCTAAAATTGAGAGAATGATGTGGCATACAAAAGAGAAGTTATCTCAAGAATAAATACACCATAACTTTAAAAATACAGAAGAGCATACATATCAAGCACAGGGAAACAAGTATGCATGCAAGTTTTTGTACTTTGATGAGAAATGGAAAACATTCTACTACATTGATTAGTTGATATCATATCTATCCCTATGTTTTCCATATTTAAGTGATTATGTTTAATCATTGTTCTCAATGTTCTGAGATCTGAAAATATTTAGATAATTCAACTAGTATCATTTAAATCGGGAATAATTTACATTTATTTAATTTTCATTACACAAGTTTCTCAACCCTAATACTGCCGGTCGTCGATATAGTGATTGCCCCTATAACTTTACTCTACTGCCGGTCGTCAATATATTGATAACTTCCGGTATGTTCATTCAGTGCCGGTCATCACTATATTGACTTTCTATATAAGGTCAAGGTTTTGAGTTCTAGCCTATCAAATCACACAGATATTTTTATTTTAAGTCGATATTACGTCAGAAGGATTTCCCTGCAGAAAGATGTTTTCTTTGGTTGCTTCCGGCATTCCTTTCTAAAATTATTTTGATGACAAAAATGACCCCGTAGTTTGTTTACATTTGAGTATGAAACAATGGAAGCATTTGTAGAAGTAGCGGATGGGGCACGTTTTAATAGGAAGTAGACCATGAAAATTGTGATTTTGAAAGACAAATATTTCTAAAAGATGATTTGGACGACAAATTTATAGGTTTTGATGAGGATAATCTAGAAAAGGACGAAAAATTAGCGCTATTTTAGGATAAGTAGAAACCTGGATATACGTGGTCTCGCTTTTGATTCTGAAAAGAAGTTAAACTTTGATGTTGGAGAAAATACAGAGATAAAAGATTTCTAACGTTTATAATTATTAATTAAGAGTTCATAAAGAAATGAGTTGAAGAACCAAACATATGCACACTAGACTAGAGTCGGAGCAAGGACAACAATATTGAAAAGTAAAATAACGATTTACAAGGAAAATTCACACTCATGGTTTAAATTATTGGACGATATCAACCGTGTTGACATGAAGCAATTCATCATGAAATAATAATATATATTATTTGTCTTTTTTTTGCTAATTAAATCAGATTTACAAATATTTCTAATAATCAAATAAATAAAAACGTAATTTTTCGACTTTCATTTGATATATCTAAATAATTTCATAATCCACTGTCACTTATTTTACACTGTGAAATTCTGCATTCAATTCCACAAAACAAACTCATTTAATGTTACTTTCTAAAATGTTCAAAAATCATAGAAAATTGATAAAACAATTACATAGTGTGACACTGAAAAATTTTTGTAAAACAACTCGGCACAATGAGATGCAGAGGCTAATTAGCATCATGGCGCTGCAGTGAACTGATAATCTATTTATAGTTGGCAGTACCAGGGTTAATAGGTGTAATACCACCATTGATTTTCCCCAATTAGTCTTTGTTAAATTTGCACTTTTCAAAAAAATGTGCAGAATTTATCTTTGTTTCAAATAAAGAAATACTTGGCATGAGTAAAGTTTTATCCTGTCCAGTACTATAGAAAAAAATTCACATAACATTTCATTGCATATAAGAAAATAACCATCACTGGAAGTTAACCAATCAAATTTTCACCCCTTTTTTCCTGTGTACAAGCTTTAGTAACCATGTAACCTCGAGTTTCCAAAATATTCTATAGAAACACCTAATAAAAAAATAATGGTGCTTTGAAACACCCAAGATATATGTTTATGACTCAGAAATGTTTTACTACAAATGTCAAATTCAAGGGAATATTTTTTTTCAACCCTTTTACGTATGCAACCGGATGTGACGTGCTATGATTTCGTGGTATTACACCAAATATGAACAAATTGTTGGTACTGATAGATTAACTTTGTGCATAACAAAAGCTAACCAAAACGAAGTGGACAGCAACAAAAGTACAAAGTGCGTGGCTACTAATTTTAATTAGATTGATGAAGACAAATCACCATATGTAGGTTAAAAGTTTTTGTTACCCTCCCCCCCTTCTTAACAAAATAATACAAGAAAAAAAGGGCCTTCAAAAGAATAGCCAGAGGGCTATCATATTGAAGTGATGATCTGGCTATTTTTTAGCATAACATATTATTAAATTATTTGTAATGTTATAATAAGAAAAGCAGAGATAGTTGATGGTTAAGTTGTTTTATTTTGAGTTTTTATGCCCCCACCGTAGGCGAGGGGGCATTCAGTGTTACACTTAAACGTCCATCTTTCTATATGTCCATCTGTCATATTTTCAAAGCTTGAGCAGGAGCATTCGTATCCTCAGACACATTCATCTTTTATTTTCATATAGTTTTAACTATTCTTTTTTTTTTTCATAAAATTATTTACACATTATTTGGGTTTTATTTCAGACTGAAGGGTTAAGAAGTAATGATAAGAGTTTCAACTATCTTTGTGCTGAATTCATCCGTGACAAGAAGGTAAGATTGTATAAGTGCCTATGAACACTAACATACACATATATTTCAGTGTGTATTAATCAATATAAAGATTAATAAAATTGCACAAATGAACTTCAAGATTGCTTAACAATTTAATTTTAAAAAATATTTCAGTATGCAACTATATGAAATAAATATTTACAATGCTATAACAAATAAAAATAATATTTCAGGAAACAAATTTCCTTTTAGAGTCTTGAAAATTTATTCAATTTCAAATATAGCTGATGGTGTTTAGTTATACAAAAAAAAATGTAATTAATAATTTCCTGTATATTTTAAAATGATACCATATTGAAGTAAGGTTAATTTGTAATGTGCAGTGGTCAATATAACAACCTTGTTCAGGACGATGCATCACTTAACTTTTTATTTTGCACAAAATATACAGAGGCAAATTTTGTATGATACAATAACATGATATAAATATCTTTGGGGGAATAGGTGAGAATGATTACTGCTTTAACAAGTTGACACAGAAATTGAAAAATGCAGAACAAAAAAGAAAAGAAAAAGACATGTTTTTCATACAGTACATATTTATGGGAGTTTTATTTTACAGATAGAGGAATTGGTAACTTTGGTACAATTGACAGAAAAACTATCAGGATGTAATAGAGATCTGATGTTATGTAACCTAATTAGAGGATATGGTAGGTACAATAAAACTAGGTTCAGTACTCAGAAAAGAGGGAATACGTCAATCTAGTTTACATAGGATATACAAACACCAAGGAAGGTTGTCTGATTTGTGGGTGAAAAAGTTAAAGAAACTAATTATATATACAGAAGCTTAGCAGAGGCAGCATATATCTTTATGACTGAAAAGAGATAAACATTTACCCTAAAATAAACATGCTCAAAGCTTAGTAAATCTAGATAGGTCTATTTTATTTCATAGCTTTAATATAAGTACACATAAAAATACCTTATTTATACCTCTGACTACTACCCAGAAGTACTGGTTTCAGTCTTGAATTTTATGTTTTCAAATTTCAATAAAGGCCTACCTCGAAAGATTATATACTGTGGAGATATTGTTATTTTTTAGATACAAATTTTTGTGGATTACGTGGGTATGCAAAAACCATGAATTCAAATGTTCTACAAAGAAGAAATTGTCTATAGGCTTGAATGCAGCATTTGACAACACCATGAAATCAAATATCCATGAAAATACAATTGTTCCTCAATCCATGAATTTTGCTATCCAAGAAAATAAATGAATCCACAGTAGCTGGTCTACTCAACTTAATTGTTCATTTCAACCGTGAACTTTTCTTGTCAAGTATTTCTTCAAATATGTTGATTGTGCCTAGGTATTTTGTTATGCCCCTATCCTAGAAGTTGGGGCTATATTGCAATCACCTTTGTCTGTCTGTTTGTCCATTTGTCCAACAAATATTTTCATTGTACTTTTCTCTGGAACTTTTATAACAGAACCACTTCATATTTTGTCATCAGCTTGACAGTGAAACGTTCTAATGTGTGAGCACTTTTAAGATCTGTCAGACACCTGTTTTTGTTTTCCAAGTGGAAGTATACTTAGCATGACAACCCATGCATTCTTGTTCTTCATGGGCCTTTTGATATATTTTGACAATTTGCAGACTCGATGGTCAGCAAACTGTTAAAAATATCATCAGGACTATTAAGTGCTAGCTTTTCACAGCTAGTTTATTAGATTATTTCATTTCTTTTTTAAACATTTACAGCCGATTTCATTGAGTGTGTACGGAAAGGTAGAATCCTTGGTTAGCTTGCTTGTTAGCTGAACCGTGAAGTCATTATTAGGTTAGGTAAAATACCCTCCTTTCGAAGGAGTCTAGTCTTACAGACAGATAAATTTGTTATCTGTTGGACTAGTCTACTTTTAAAGGAGGGTAGTATACCTTACCTAATAATGACTTCACGGTTCAGCTAACAAGCAAGCTAACCAAGGATTCTACCTTTCCCTACACACTCAAAGAAATCTGCTGTAAAGCTTATCTCCTAGTAATTGAATTTCCTGATACATGTTTACTTTGTCTTTTATTGTTAAGTTACTAACTACATAGCTCTTTCTATGTGAAAAATTATAATCATTTTAAATGTGGATTAAGATTGTTGATTTTTTACAGTTCAGATTAAGGATTTTTCATCAGCAAAAGATGTCTTGAAAATGTATGCTGAAGAGGAAGTTAAACCATCTGCAGAGACAATCAATTATTTGAATAAACAGCTGGCAGCAAATGGAATGGAAAAAGTTCAAGAATTACAGGTATATTTAGCTTAAATTTGAATATACAGTAAGAATTTAATAAACATATTTTAGATACACCACATATATGATTTTGACATATTCTAAATAAACCAAATATTCTGAGAAATTAATCTTAATTGTGATGTCCAGTATTATGTATTAATGTTGCTGTTTTGTTTGAAATAACATTTTGATAAAGGATATTTTCATCATAGTGAAGTTTGGGTATTTTATTAGAGATACAATGAAAAACTCATCAACAAGACGGAAGAATAACATATCCTAGATACCAAAGTTCTTTTGTTATATCTACAATTAACTTAAAGGCTCATTATTAGCAAGTGGTTGACATATTCTCATCACTCCACTAATTATGAAATGTTGCTGCTTTTATTTGATAGCTACAATTCTAGTACATCTTAATTAGTAGTTTTTGCTTAAAAAATCACTTTTATTAAATTTTTGATTGCCATTATATACTTTAAACTAGACACAACAATGTACTATTTTCCAGGTAGAAGAAAAAAGTTCTAGTCCGGATAGTGAACAAATAGATCAAATAGACAGTTCATCAAGTTCTGACAGCTCTGATTCTGATGAGGAAACTAGTAAAAGTAGTTGACCTGGTTGACCTTTAGGATGTTTATTACTTTGTTTGTTTGTGATATTCAATATGCAGGTTGAAAAGTTATGATGATGATTTATTAAAAGTGCTATTCTGGAGATATTTCATCTGAGGTGTGAAAGAAGAAAAACATTCACCAAAATTGTAGATCATTTACTTATCATACTTATTGATTTAAGTTCATTTGTTATAACTACATGACTGTGGACTCCTTCTTAAAGGTCACGTGCTAAATATGACTATCATCATTAGCTATGAATTAAAAACTGATAGATACATGATGAAGGGCCTGTTCTTGATGTCCATCAACTCAATATGGTGGCTTAATTATCATCAACTATTCACTTCAATCCCTTCATTGTAGCTACATGACTGAGGACTTAATCTTGATAGCCACACATGAATATAGTTTTATCATGGTTACATAACTGTAGTCATGGACTGAACACATTAATGGCTACAGAACTGAGAACTCATTGTTCATCATGATTGACAGAAAATAGCTTTTTGTAATTACTTATTGCTGCTTTATCAAGCAATCAAACTGTATCATATATACAATAATAAGTTATAATGTATAAAAAGAACATAGTACAATGATCTTATATCTCATACACTGATATTTTGTTAAAAGTAGTAATTCGTAAACTTAAATTTACAAACTACAAACATAATTGAACCAATCACTTGGTGTCTGTCTATCTAAACTTATACATTGTCATCTGAGAACAACTGAATGAAATGCTTCTTTTTTAATTTTAAACAATTTTAATGTCAGATGTTTTACCTTTGTGTCTGTGAACAAAAAGGGCTGTTATTTTCCATACAGAGATGTTTCTATTAAAGAAGTTTTCCTTCTTTACAAAGTTACAACATCAGTCCTTGGCAACTCAGGTATGCCATTGTTGATTATAAATGATTGGTTAGAATTAAAAGGAACCTCTTCATATGCAGTAAACAAATTAAAAAACAATCCTGACAGAAATTGTGTCAATCCTTATCAATTCCTGGTGAAGCATACCTAACAAGTAAAGGTATTAAAACAGCATGGAATGTTACATTAAAAGGTTTGTTTTACATTTGTCAGTCCATTGACTTAAACTAACTTAAATTAAAACATTGTTACCACTGGGTTAAAACAGAAGTAACCATTATGTGAGTGTGAAAGGAGACAAACAAGCACTGCAACTACCATGAAATGCACATTTTTAAATGATACAAGATAGTTCAAGAATTGTGTAATCAAACTGTTAAAGGATTTATGTATTGGGTAAGCAACTACAGGTTCCTTCCAGAAAATAATCATAGTAAACAAAAAATACTAGTAAGAAATACTTTTTAAAACAGATTTATTAATGAAATTATTGTAAATAGAAACAAGTTCACTCATTGTTTGTTATTGATGTTAGTATGGATTTGTTAATAATGTAAATGTGTTAAATTACAAATTGCAGATTCATTTTTTTAAATAATTTTTATGAATGAACATATGTGTTGTTTTATCTGTTGAAACCTTTGAAATATTGTAAACAAGTGTTGCATGCAGTTTTCCAAATACCATAAAAAGCCATTTGCACTGACAAAATATTTAGCTAGTCTTATTTTTGATATTCTAGTGATATTGGTTAGCTGTCTCATTAACACTTTTTTCACATATCCTTTTTCATATCTAGTGATGGTTATGCATGACATAATTGGCCTTGTAAAGTGCACACTGATACATTGTTCCCACGCCCCTTTTTCGCCTGGAGAATTCAGGAAATAAAACTTTTGTGCCACTAGTTGAAATTGTCCAGTGAAACTCCCGTAATTTCAAATTATATTTTCATACAAAAACCCGTTTTCCATCATCAAATAGAGTTGAAAATGCTTATAAATGTTTCTAGAACATTTCACAACTGTAAAAATAAGTCAAATTCACAACAAAAAAACAATTGAAAAAATATTTGCAAAAAATAAGATTGAAGCTCTGTTAGGAAACATAAACATAATGATATAAATGAATACTTTGGATAAACTTACTGAGGAAAATATAATTGTACTATGTTGCAGACATACATCTTTGATGGCTTATCGTTTAAATTCAATCCATTAGAACAATTCAAACTCACTTCACTTAAAATTACTACCGGGTATAATTGTGCAATACCATTGCTTTTGGACTGTTTGTGCTGAGCTTGCATTATCAATGTGTCAAAACCATCACGGTTGAACTGTTAGGTTACAATCTACCAATTACAAGTGATGAATGATTACCATCACTAAATTGATAGCATTGGACTATTGATGGGCTGTTAATTAAAGTACCATTTTCCCAGTGGTTCGTGTTTACTTTAAATGTTAACATCATAATTGATGGACTGTTAGGATAACAGTATCATCCTCCAATACCTAGTGTTAAGTGAATTCTATCACTGTGTCGATGCCATTGTTGTTGGCCAGTAAGGTTACCACATTCCGATACAAGTAGTGATTGTTTACCATGGCTGTTGATGGATTGATAAAGTTACCAACTTCCCATGACTATGGCAGAGACATATATATTATCTGTCTGTCATTGGTGATAGTTTAATATCATTATTTCGATAACATTGCTGGTTGACTATTAAGGTACCGTCTTCATATGGCCAGTTTTGAATGTTTACTATTATAGTGAAATTACCGCTAGAGACAAAGAAACTGTGAAATGTCTATAATCTCTTCACGATAAATATGTTGTTGTTCCTATGGACAAAGTTTCAAATAATATTGTTTTTGTATGTAAATCTTACTACTACAAGTGTCTTGTAAAATAATTATGAATAAATGAGCACTCAAGTAATCCCACATACAAAAACATATCATTTGACAAGGATGAGCCATGAATAATCATAAGTCCTTCATGGCTTCAATGAACATAACATTGAACAGCAAATCTGAGGACTTACCTTGTTTGTATTGGATACCTAAGCTTCACAAAATTCCGTACAAACAACGGTACATTGCCGGCTCATCTGCATGTTCTACAAAGGAATTGTCCATTAGATTGACAAAAATTCTGTCCGCAGTGAAAGAGGGTCTTCAGAAATACTGTGAAACTGTTAACTCGAGAGTGGTATTAACCATATGTGGATTCTTAAAAATTCTAAAGAACTTCTGGATAATTTTAAATCTCAATCTTTTTCTGAAATTAATTCTATCAAAACTTTTGAATTTGGAGGTAGACTTTTTCAACAAATTGTCGGCATTCCTATGGGAACGAACTGTGCGCCTCTCCTTGCCAACCTGTTCTTATTTTCATATGAGCCGGAGTTCCTTCAAATACTTATCAAAAACAAGAAGATCAAAGAAGGCAGATCATTTAATTTCACATTCAGATATATTGATGATGTTCTTTCCAGTAACAATCCAAACTTTTCTGATTGGGGTCCATTAATATATCATCCAGAACTAGAAATTAAAGAAACAACAGACACAGTTCCCTCAGCCACATTTTTAGACTTATACCTCGAATTTGGCATAAGTGGTCATCTTGGTACCAGAATCTATGACAAGCGAGACAATTTTAATTTTGAAATTAAATTTTCCCCACCTTAGCAGCAATATACCGACTTCACCTGCATAAGGGATATACATTTCCCAACTCATTCAGTATTCAAGAGCTTGAAATTGCTACTCAGACTTTACAAAACGTCACCAGTGTCTGAGCAGAAAGTTGATGAACCAGGGTTATGTCAAAGAACGTCTCTTCTTTTTTTCTAAAAAAAGTTCATCGGAAGATACCAAGCAAGACCTTATTGATAAATATTCCGTATCAATTTCACAAATAATACATGATGGTCTTGAAGTATAGATTCTAGGTACTGACGTTGTTTATCATCTTGATTACGTGTTATAGTGTTCTTTTTATTTGTCTTTGTATATTTTTCCCCTTTACTGTTCAGTCCATTTTTGGTATATACTTCTTGTGTGGCTAGGTATTTATACATCCCGCCATTGTGTTATTGTGCTATGGTCATTTTCGTATTCTTGTCATTCATTTTTGCCTATGTACGTTGCCTATAGAGTGTCTGTATGTCTTTTTGTTTTTCTTTGTTTAAATAGTTATTAGTTTTTATAGTGATTAAGATTATAACACAATGTTGACTGCTGTTCCCCAATTTTTGACATTTTTACCTATTATGTCTGTTTGTTTTGTTCACACATTGTTGTCAATATAATGGAATTCTGTGCGACTGTCATACTGAGGGGTTTAGCTAGCTATAAAACCAGGTTTAATCCACCATTTTCTACAAAAGGAAATGCCTGTACCAAGTCAGGATTATAACAGTTGTTTTCCATTCGTTTGATGTGTTTGAGCTTTTGATTTTGCCATTTGATAATGGACTTTCCGTTTTGAATTTTCCTTGGAGTTCGGTATTTTTGTTAATTTACTTTTTACCAATGCTGTTAGACTGTAAGGGTACCTACCATCTTTCTGGTTGTAATTGTTTAATATTACTAATTCGATACCATAGCTGCTGGACTGTTAGTGTTTCATTTCCCAGTACTTATATTGTTGACCACCATTGCGTCGATACCACGGCTGATGAAAATATAATACATCTTTCCATGACCATTGGTGAATGTTTTATATTCTTGTGTTTTTATCATTGCTGTTGGACTGTAAGGGTACCATAGTCCCAGTGGATCATGTTGGATATGACAGCTTCTATGCCATTATGACTGGTGGACTATTGGAGATCAATTGTCTATGGTTAATGTTTATCATCATTCTGTCTATATCAGTGGTGACATGTAAGGCTACCAACTTCCTATGTCATGTTTTGAATGATTACTTTTATTGTGTCATTACATTGCTGGTCAACTGCAAGGGTACCATCTTCCCTATGGAAGTGTTTACTTTCAAAGTGTCGATACCGTTACTTGTGGGATTTTAGGGTACCATCTTAATCTTAAGTTGCTACACTGCATCAATACCGCTGCTAGTGAACTGTTAGGGTACATTCTTCCAAGCGCTTTTTATTTATTATCACTCCGTGCCAATTCTGTTAATCTATTAAGGTATCATCTTACCATTTGGTTACCATTTATTATTACTGTTTCCATACCATTGCCTGTGTACTGTTGAGATAAAATTCGTCTTTCTTTATAAGATATAATTTCATCTGCTTTGTATATATCTCTTACCGGTATTGTTATATAACTCCATGTCACTATACGTCATGTGCTGTGTTACAATCCTAGATTAAACAAACGAGGAAAGGCATCACCAGAGTAACACAAACTATGTTTTTATAATGCCTATTTTGGGAATCTGCGAATATGTATGCTACTTACTGATTTATAGACTTAAGAAAATTGCATGTATTACAATGTACATAAGATATGATATATACAGTGCACACATAAGGATATGTGGTAAGACTGTCGATGAGACAACTATATCCACCAAAAACTAAAAGGATGTGAAAGTTAAGAAACTAAGACTCCAACTCTATCAAGCAAAGATTACCTTAGATTAATTGACTATAACTTAGGTCTCTTTTGGTCATATAGCTTTACACGATCCTTGGCTTTCAAATATTTGGGTTGGAGTGTTCCTGATCTAAAGAAGACGCACGAAATTTTCGAAGTGCTATTTTCATTTAATCTCTATGAATTTACCTTGACCAAACAATGGTCTTCAACAATGAAAAATGAACTGTACTGCTTGGTAATCAATAGAATAAACCCTCTCAGATTAACTAATTAAAAAATCAAGAGCAGTAACGTTACAAAAAAATAACAAATAAAATGAATATGCTTTATATACTTCAAGGGCTAAGTTTTACTTTACGTGTACATATACTTTCTTTTAATAGAAAGTCTTTTTTTTTATCCAAATAAATCGAAATAAACTGCTTTCTGGATGATTGTTTTCCCGTATTCTTATTCTCGGATAGCTTTCCCGTATGCAGAGACCTCAACCATGACACTTGTCGTTAAAAATTCAGCAATAGCATGGCGCAAGTGTAAATGCACGCATTTGTTCAATCATTTCCTTATATTAACCAGAAACTCGTTTCATATGATATTAACATAAACTTAAAACAAATTTAACAAGTAGAACTTGTGTAGATTATACGTTGTTGGCCATGAAAACAGATAAAGTATCTTAGGGGATAAGCACGTTAGCTTGCTAGTTTGTAATGAACTCCTACTTTGGACATTGTTTTAGTAGCGAAACAATGCCACACACTAACAAATGATCGCAATATGCTTAATAGATTAAGCGTGCAAAAACACCAAACCTGTCAGATGGTTATTTGGACTTGATATATAATTATTTCGACCTTTAAGATTATTAAGACTTGTAAGAAAATTATGTCGACCTGTCAGATGATTATTTGGATTTTTCAGATAATTATGTCGAGATGTCGGACGATTTCTATTTGGGATTGTCAGATAATTATATCGACCTGTCAAAATTATGATTCTTTTGACTTGATATATAATTTTGTCGAC